CATACCATTAATTAGTTTTGTTGCCCTTCTCTGTACCTCTTTCATTTCTAATATATCTCTTTTGAGATGGGCTGACCATAACAACATGCAGTATTCAAGTTATGGGTGTTCCTTGGATTTATATAGTGCCATTATGATATTTTCTGTCTTATATCTATTCCTTTCCTAGTAATTCCGAACATTAGCTTTTTTGACTGCCACTGTACATTGAGTGGATGTTTTTTAGAGAACTATCCACGATGACTCCAAGATCTTTCTTGAGTGGTAACAGCTAATTTAGACCCCATCATTTTGTTTGCATAATTGGGATTATGTTTTCCAATGTGCATTACTTTGCGCTTATCAACATTGAATTTCAACTGCCATTTTGTTGCCCAGTCACAGTTTAGTGAGATCCCTTTGTAACTCTGCATTCAGCTTGGAACTTAACTGTCTTGGGTTTTTGTATCCTCTGCAAATTTTGCCACTTCGCTGTGGACCCCCTTTTCCAGATCTTTTATAAATATGCTGAACAGCGCACAGGTCACAGTACAGCTCTTGGGGGGGGAGGGGGGTCCTACTATTTCTCCATTGTGAAAACTGACCATTTATCCCTACTCTTTGTTTTCTATCTTTTAACCAGTTGCTGATCCATGAGAGGACTTTCCCTCTTATCCCGTGACTGCTTAGTTTCCTTGATGGGCTCTGGTGAGGGACCTTGTCAAAGCTTTTCTGAAAGTCCAAATACACTATATTGACTGGATTACCCTTGTCCACATGCTTATTGACACTCTCACAGATTCTAATAAATTGGTTAGGCATGTTTTCCCATTACAAGAGTCTAGGTGATTTTCCTCCCAACATATCATGTTGATCTGTCTGATAATTCTGATCTTTAGTATAGTTTCAATTAATTTGCCTGGTACTGATGTTAGGCTTCCCAGCCTGTAATAGCCAGGATTGCCTCTGGAGTCTTTTTAAAAAATCGATGTTACATTAGTTATCTGCCAGCAGGGCCGGCTCCAGGCATCAGTGAAGGAAGTAGGTGCTTGGGGCGGCACGTCCAGGTCTTTGGCGGCAATTCGGCGGCGGGTCCCTCAGTCCCTCTCTTCCTCTTGAGCTGCCGCCGAAGAGGAAGAGAGGGAGTGAAGGACCCGCCGCCGAAGAATGAAGCAGCGCAATTGAGTTGCCGCCGAAGGGGGGCGGGGTTTTTTTTTTTTTTTTTTTTTTTCCTTCGCTGCTTGGGGCGGCAAAAAAGCTGGAGCCGGCCCTGTCTGCCAGTCATCTGAAACAGAGCCTGATGTAAGCAAGAGGTTACATATCACAGTTAGTAGTTATGCAATTTCATATTTGAATTCTTTCAGAACTCTTGAGTGAATACGATGTGGTCCTGGTGACTTATTCTGTTTAACTTATCAATTTGTTCCAAAATCTCCTCTGACACCTCAATCTGGGACAGTTTAGATTTGTGTCCTAAAAAGAATGGCTTGGGTGTTGGGATCTCCCCCACAATCTCTGCAGTGAAGACTGATGCAAAGGATTAATTTAGCTTCTTTGCAATGTCTTTGTCTTCCTTGAGTTCTCCTTTTGCGACTTCATTTTGTGAGCCAGAGATTGCATCTCCGTCATACTTCTAAAGCAGTAATGTACTCCTCTTGCTAAGTATACCCTCTCCCCCCAGCCCATCCCTGGTCTCTCAGACTTCTCAACACAACAGGATGTAGAGGGAACAGAAAACAAAAAGCTTCTTTTCTAGAGTTATCTCTGAAGCAAATGTATGGATACTAGATGGACAGGAAGGAAATAGATAACACTTCAGCCAAGCCCTGGGTTGGACTTTGCCTTTACTTGAGCTTTCTGGACTTCTTTTCCTGTCATTCTGAATTGAAAGAGAGAAATAGCTAGAAAGTTTAAGATGGATGACCTAAAAGCACATGCTTCCTATCCAGTGCCCTACAACTTTCTGCAGTCATTGTCCCATTAGAGCACCCTCCTCAAAAAGATCTTCATTCAAGTGCCCTTCTTTCTTTGGAAAATAAATTAAGTATCTTCTCATACATCCTGCAGTAGAGTGATTCCTTAGTTTATTTGGGAAAATCCACATTCCAAATTCCTGGCCACCTCTAATGTCTCAAGCCAGGTCTACATTATAAACTTACATCAGTATAACTACGTCACTCAGAGGTGTGAAAAATCCACACCCCCGACCACCATAGTTGTACCAATCTAACCCCCAATGTAGCCAGCACGCCCTCCCATTGATATAGCTATGGCTTCTCATGGAGGTGGATTAACTACACCCATGGGAGAAGCTCACTTGTTGGTGTAGTAGCATCTTCACTGAAGTGCCACAGCAGTGCAGCATTTTAAGTGTAGACCTGCCTTCAGGATCTATTTAAACTCCCAAAGGACTATCTGAAAACATTACTTGAAGATAAGGCTCTCCGTAGTCTCTAGTTTCAAATGTGGTCAGTGGTTCCCCTTGAAAGCAATACATCCTAAATATGTACTTGATAGAAAGATTTGATTCTGTGCTGCGAAAGGCATTTGACTACTCCTCCCTATAGTTGAATATATCTATGCATTCTTATTGTGATTAGTGCTTTAGAAAGAGTGGGGTTTAAATTCCCAAGACTATTCCCTGCTCTTTCGGTGAGTCCAAAGCCAAGGAATTGCAGACCTGGACAAATGTCTTCTGGTGACACGACATATCTCATGAAAATAACTGAACTCCTGTCCAGTCTTCTCTGACAAATGTAAACATTTTTCAGGTGGATCTTAATGAGGACAGATGCTAAAGACAAGAAAATACTTCTCTAAAAGTTCGTATCTTGGCACTCGATGTAGACCAAGGAAGAATTAACTCTCTTGTTGGGTTACCTTTCCCTTAGTTCCAGCTTCCATTAGGTAGCTGTCTTAATGTTGTTCTGAAACATTTGTTCCCCTCTGTTCAAATCCAGGTTCACCATATCTCTGAAATTATAAGCCTTGAAAGTTAATAAGTGTTGATATTTATAATTTGTGTTTTTAGGTGAGTGATTTTGTGCTTAGCTGACCTATCCTGTGCTTATTCATAGTTAGTTTATTATAAGAAAATGTCTCGAACAGTCCATACCTTCCCATCCCTATTACCCAGGAGATTTCACTTCCCAAATCTGAAGAATCATACAGAAAAATACAGATGTTATGTGGATATTGGCAGAGCCATGGAAAGATCTTTCTTGATAAAATCAAGTTGTGGAGAATATCTGAGAGAGCGATTGTTCCTGATGTGGTATAAGTGAAATATAAATTGGATTTCCATATCTTACTCTAAGTGGTATCTTTGGTTCAAGGGTAATTAGACTCCACTCCTCTGTGTGTTTTCTTCTTTCTCTGAAATGTGAGAGGGCTTTGAAGGGTGGTTTCGTGGCCCTTGCTACATAGTTCTACAAGAATTCCAGAGCGGAGATTCTTTCTCTGTCCTTGGATGCATCCTTCAGCAAGTGCATCCTTAGGAAGATCATAAACAAATAGCTCCTCTGTGCTACCCTCCTTTGACCCCTTTGAAACAGGGATTGCTAGGCAGATCCCAGGTGTTAGAAATTCATGTCTGGCAACATGGAAATATTTATTTTACCTGTTAACTTCTAATCTCCAGATACACTCCTACAAAGCTACCCAGTAAACAGAGGATGGTGTTCAGCATTTTCTGTATTTCCAGAATTTCCGTTCCTGTCACCTAAATTCAGTTAAGACATACTCCCATTTTTTGCCTAGTCTCTCATGTTGTCAGTGTTGTGTTTTGAAATCTGTATTTAACTTTCTTGTCTACAGAGAGCTTGTCAGGGTTCCCTCACCACTCTGAACTCTGGGGTACAGATGTGGGAACCCGCATAAGCTTATATTCCACCAGCTTAGGTTAAAAACTTCCCCAAGGCACAAATTCCTTTCCTTGACCTTGGACGGTATTGCTGCCACCACCAAGTGATTTAAACAAACATTCAGGGAGGGGCCACTTGGAGCCCTGTCGCCCTCCAAAGTATCCCCCCAAGTCCCTTCACCCCCTTTCCTGGGGAGGCTTGAGAATAATATACCAACCAAATAGGTTAACGAGGTGAGCAAAGACCAGACCTTTGGGTTTTTAGGACACACAAAAACAATCAGGTTCTTAAAAGAAGAACTTTATTATTTTAAAAAAAAAAAAAAAAAGTAAAAGAAGCACCTCTGTAAAAGCAGGATGGAAGGTAATTTTACAGGGTAATAAAAAGACTTAAAACACAGAGGATTTTCCTCTAGGCTTAACTTTAAAGTTACAAAACAGGAATAAACCTCGCTCTTAGCATAGGGAAAATTCACAAGCTAAAACACAAGATAATCTAATGTATTTCCTTGCTATTACTTACAATTTCTGGAATTTTAGATGTATCATTTTAGTAGGAGCTGGATTACCTGCTTGGTCTCTCTCTTTGTCTCAAGAGGGAACACAAAGAGAGCACAAACAAAACCTGTCTCTTCCCCCCTCCACCCCCCCAGATTTGAAAGTATCTTCTTTCCCCATTGGTCCTTCTGGTCAGGTGCCAACTAGGTTAATGGAACTGATTAACCCCTTACAGGTAAGTGATTCTATACCTCTGGCCAGGAGGGATTTGATGTTACTGTATACATAAAGGTTGTTACCCTTCCCTTTATATTTATGACAGAGCTAGTTGTCTGGGGAAAAAAATTGTGCAGGTACTATTGACTGTGGAAGACCCAGAATTGGAACTACACTATAGGTCAGGAATCAGCACAGGGCATCAAGTCTTCAAGTTTCTGATTGATAGCTTTTTGCTTTCTCATGGGGAGGTATGAGCAGGCAGACCCAGACATTAGGGGTCAGTGCTTAGAGACCTCCCCTTCCTTCTCTTGCTCATCCACCTCAGTGTTCCTTGATTGTGAAATAGCTGCATGTTTCCTTAAACCATGTTTGCACTTCAATTAAATAAATAATGTCTTATTAACTGATTACTAAGACTCACGGTATTCTTATTTCTTCTCAGTTACCCATGGATGTATAGTCTCCACAATAAAACTATTTCTCCCAGATGGTATGGAAGCCCGGTTACGGTCAGAGTAAGTATAATTAAGTATTTATTAATATCTACCAAAATTAGAATATTTTATGAGGGTTTTTGTTAAGTATATTCCTATGTTAAGTATATTCCAACATGTAACACATGTTGATTTATAGACGTCTATAGGTATGTCGTACATAACATAAGATCCCTGCCCCAAAGCATTTATAATCTAATACGCACAGGTAATACAGTGATTAAAAGCAGCACTCATGCAAGTGTGAGATCAGTGGGATGACAAAAGTGGGAGAGGAGAACATTCTCTTGGTGAAGACATTTATATGTGGTGGTTCATGCTCAAGTTACAAATATATATGTTAAAATTGTTCTTGTGTATGCTTTGCTCGGGTAGATAAAAGCATAGAGGTATGAACTTGTATCATAACTGGAAACTTTGTTAATGCACAATTAAATTATATGAACTTGAATGGTTTTAATTTTATAGTGGTATTCAGAAAAATAAATAGAATGGAAAACTGGATTTGTAAATTGTGTTTGTGTCTTTACATGAAGACTTATATATTTTTATGCATCTGTAAGTGTGAATGGGAGTCATTTTTATGAATTTGTTGAGGTGCCATTTAGATTTTAAAACTGAAATCTAGCAAGCTAGATTTGCCAGTTTGGTAAGTGTTATGTCCAATATTATGATGGAATTTAATTAGGATAACTTTTGAGTGCAGTGAGCATTAGCTTACTAATTTTAGCACTAATTTCTTTCAAAGTCTTTTACCTTGGACAGTATTTCTCAGGTCAGTACACTAGGTTATTCTTACCTAACTGACAGTTTGTGTACTCGTGTGCTTCTTGGAGAATAAACAATCAAAAGTTCATCAATCAAGTGTAGATAAAACAAATGTGCTAGGCACATACTGAACATAAAATACACATGCAGGTTTGTAAGTGATTAACAAAAACCAAAAGTGTGGCTGTGACTCTAGGGGCCCCTCAGTGCCAACTGGCAGAGAGCCTACCATACTGTAACTCACATCAGGCCTGACACACTCATTGCCCCAGCACAGTGTTGTCATAATATGTACCTAAAAGGTGTTATATAAGGTAGCATATGTGAACTTATGTCACACTGGTCCTGAAAATTGTGGCATGATGTATGTACAGATTGTGTACAAAATTGTGTGTATGTATGTGCTGGAAATATATTTTTATAATGTGTTTGGGAGTAGGGCTGGCTCCAGGCACCAGCGTAGCAAGCAGGTGCCTGGGGCGGCCAATGAAGCAGGGGCAGCACGTCCAGCCGTTCGGCGGCAATTCGGCGGTGGGGCCGTCACTCCCTCTCCGAGCGAAGGACCTGCCGCCGATCGCGGCTTTGTGTGTGTGTGTGTGTGTGTGTGTGTGTGTGTGTGTGCTTGGGGTGGCAAAAACGCTAGAGCCGGCCCTGTTTGGGAGTGTATAAACCCAGGCTGCCCAAGACAAAGGAATGTTGTTTTACCTGTCTTACTGGCTTGATTACTGGAAGAGGACAATGAAAGTACATTTACATATACAATAAACAAAGTGAACAAGCAGCAGCTTAATGCACAGAAGGCAGGGACAGAGTCTGCACTCCAGGAATCCTTCCTGGCTCTTGAGATAGAGACAGTGAACTTTGGGTAATATAAGGGGAGAAAAGAGGCATTTTAGTTATCCATGACTCCAGGAGCAAAGGGAACCAACACCCTTTGATTCTGTGAACATTGGGTACCCTGGCCTGGAGGGCTGGATATGCCGGTAAGTAAGAAAATTGCTCAGGCAAAGATTGTAACTTGCTAAGATTACATTTTAGTTACTAGAATGCATGTCCCTATTTTATTTTGTTTTGTTTGTAAGTATACCTCTCTCTTTCTCTTGCTCAATATCACTTCAATCTCTGTCTTTGTTAATAAACTTATTCTTGTTTTATTACAAAACTTATCACAGTATTGTGCATTAAAGTGAAATGTGAATCTTCACCAACCCAACACACTGATGAATGCTCTCTCTTTGGAGGCTGCCAGCATAATTTCTGGGAGAGGGAATAGACACTGCAGGCTCTGGGGAGCTCGGGAACTGGGATTCACTGACTGTTACCTGCAAGGCCAAGTTTAGACTGGTAAAGTCTTGAAGAGTTTGCTGGCAAGGTAGACAGACTGGTGTGTTAGGGAGCTCTGACACACAGCTTAGCAGCAGCAAAGCTCTCACTCTTGCTAAGGCAGAGCGCTAACACAGAAGCTCACAGTTCTGGGTGTCCTGAATGGGACATCACAGGGGCCAAGCAGCTATATTAAGGAACAATATAAATCACCCAGATTTTGTAGTACAATTACTTATAATCATCAGTTATCTATTCTTTAATACCTCTAACACATATCACTCTTCCAGTAATTCTCCAAGGAGCAAGGATGCACTTACTTTAAGTGGGCCTGCTGTTAGAATTATTTGATATGAAAGGAACAAGTTTAAGCAATTGTTGTTGATAATTTGAAGTTATTGTTTAGGTCTTTCTTAAGCCAATGGATGTGGGCTTATAAAGGAGAAATATGCATATAGCATTAGTTAATTTAAAATCCAAAATAAGGTTACTTGAGGTCTGACTAGAAAGAGTGTAGACTCAACAAGACAACTTCCAGTTATTGTATTTCTCTTTCTATTCTTTAATATAATCTCTGTAGTGAAATCTTACTGCTTCTTCTTAGTCCTGTTAACCTGGGATAGGAAAGAATCTTTCCCACACAGCTGGTCCGAGTGTTAGTAGAATTCCTTGGTTCTGAAGCTTCTTTGTGGAATCAGTCAAATCATCATCTTAGTCCTGTAACCCTAGAGAAAGGAATCCCTGTGGTGTGGGATTCATAAGACTCTCGGGTCCCACACAGTGACCTCAGTTTTATATACCCTGATTTCCATGGGAGCTATTTAGAGTGGTAAACTGTTTCATCAATCCAGAGTGCCTACAACCTACATCAGAAATGAGCACAAAGAATTATCATCTTACCTTGCAGAAAAGAGCATGCACATTTAGGAACACTTCTCAAACAGCATGATCTGCTCTGCCTGTATTCACCAACCAACAGCCCATCTGCATTCCCAGAGTTCAGCACATTCACACATCAAGAGGTTCTGAAAATTGTAAAGAAGTCTCGACCCATGACTTGTGAATCCAACTCATAGCTTTTCTGGCTTATGAAAAAGAGCTATAAACACCTAGTGCCACTCCTGACCTTTGAAATAGTGAAGGAATCCTTCAATGAAGGAATCCTTCCTTCCTCCTCCAAACATGCAATAGTTTGACCAGAATTGTAGAAACCAACCTTGGATACATCATTTCAAGCCAACTACAGCCCAGTGTCAAAATTCCCATATCTGAGCAAGATCATAGCAAAACTAACCAAAGGCCAACTACAGGCTCATCTGATTGTGTCAGGTCTAGAATATTAGCTTCAATCTGATTTCAGGCCAGGATATGGAACTGGAACTGCTTTGGTGGCACTGAAGGTTAATCTTCTCTTGTCAATGGCTAGAAGGCAGACATGAATTTTCCTCCTCCTGGGCCTCACTGCAGTTTTCAACACTGACTATGAGATACTACTGTTTCATTGGAGACTGGTGGCAGGGGTCCAGGACAATACACTAAAATGGTTTTGAGTCATTCCTGGAGGAGCAGACCAAAGTAGTAATGATGGGAAACTGCATCTCCAGTCCTAGACCCTTGACTTGCAGAGTCCCATAAGGATCAGTTCTGTCTCTAGTCTTTTTCAACATCTACATGTATTACTCCTGAGGGAATTCTACATCAAAAAATTGAAAATTCTGCACCCAATATTTTAAAATATTGCAAAATTCTGCAAATTTTCTTTGTCAATAAATAAATGTAGCTCCAGCATGGCTGTGGGGAGCACAGGCCATTGGCTGCATTGAGGTGGGAGATCACCTTGAAGCCCCCACATCCTCCGGTACAGGGACTCAGCAATGAGGCCGCACCTGACCCTGACACAGTGCAAGGGCTGGACCTGCCCCAGAAACACCCCAGTGCCCTGCCCCTTTGTGCCAGGTGCACCAGGTGTGGCTGGGCAGGCTCAGCCTAGCAGGATCCAAGTGTGGAGGGGCTCAGTGTGGGGTTCCGGGTGCAGGGGCAATGGGATTCTTCAGGGGATCCAGGTGATGGTGTTTGGGCTCAGCAGGCGTTCTGGGTGTGGGGGGTCAGTGCTGGGGGAGTGGGGCTTGATGGGGTGGGGGTCCAGGTGGAGCTGGGTAGGGTTCAGTGAAGTGGGGGTCTGGGTGTGTGGGGCTTGTCAGAGGTGTCCAGGTGTAGGGGGGGTAGGGCTTGTCAGGGTGAGGGTTGGATGGGCCTGCTTAACGGAGGAGCCCCAGCTGCTGCCGAAGGGATGCTGCATGCCAGGCTCCCACTTCCTCCCACGATTCCCCTGTCCCCTTTTGTTCTCCATCCCCCTCCCCTCATTCCCACATTCCCCTCCTCCATCCCCATTCCACCCCCTTCCTTCCCCACTGCCTCTTCCCCTCCACCCCCATTCCCCTTCCCTCATGCCCCCTTACCCAGCCACACCGTGGGTACTCACTGTTCCACAGAAAATAGGAAGGCTCCCAGCACACAGAAAGGGAGCACAACTGGCATTAGGACCCAAGAGGCTGCGTTCAGCTGCAGAGTCAGCAGAGCCCGAGGCGCAGCCTCCGAGCTGAGCAGTTCTGCATTTGTGGAATTTGGGGGGGCACATGTAACTCTGTGTGCCCCCCCATACCTCACCTCTGTTTGGGGGGCAATCCCCCCCCAAAAACCTGCACACATGATGCCCCCCCATGCAGCTTCCCTTTGCTTCCCAGACGTTTTCTCCAGGGAAAAGCAGGAAATCTGTGGGGGCGGGCACTGTTTTCTGCGGGTGCGCAGTCCTGCAGAATACCCCCAGGAGTAATGTGAAGTGGTCAAACTACATGGACTCAAATGCCTGCAGTATGAATGTGGGAGTTGCAAAGTGGTTTGAAAAAATGGAGAAGCACAAATAAATGGACATCTATTGTGGAACTGCACAATTGCTTATTTTCAACCCGCTTTTCTCTCTCTGCTTCTTAGCCAAGCAATTTAAGGTGCCATCCTGGAGCTGTAGTAACCTTGGTGAATGGCTCTGGCAGTGAAAGAGGGGTTGAACCAGACTGTTTCTCCTTTAATTAAAAACAATTATCTGCAGTTTGAGGGGGTGTTAGTTGGTAACTGAGAGCTGCAGCCTTAGATTTCAGTCTTCTGACAAAGTTTTCCTGTTGCTGTCTTGTAAAGTTGTGGTGACAGGAATCATGGGGCTTGGCTCCCCATAATTAGGAAATATCACCTTTTGTAATATTAACCAAATACCCTGAATACAGCACTGATAGAAGCTATATGAAGACCCATAACAAATAAATGAAAAATGTTTTAAAACAAAATTAATGGATTTCAGAATTCACACATTTTGTTTTCGTTGCAATGTACTGAAATTTCATGGCAAATTGCAGATCTGTGGTGATTTCCAATAGGAAACGTGCCTGTGTTTCGGCAATTTTCTTTGTCAAATCCGTAATTCAGCAGAACATTTCACTACAGTGAATTAACGTTTTCCGAAGAAATTGTTTTGTTGGGAAATTTCCAACCAGCTCTGCTTGTAATTGCTTCTATAATTGTTTTTCAGATGCCATGTTTTATTTTTAATTTGATTAGGTGATGAAATAAAATATTCCTTTCATGCACAAAAGACATGCTTTAAAATTTCTGTTTTGGCGAACTTTTTAGTATTAAGTAAAAATACATGATCCAAATTTAATCGTGGTGCAACGTCACTATTGTATTTCATAAAACATAGTTTCTTGAACTTTCATATTAAATCTTTTTATATGGTACTTCTTGGATATTTACTACTGTACTGTGATTTAAACATCAAATCGAATTTCATCCTTTTAAATCATTGTTTTCTAATGTATGAAAACAATGTACTTTTTTGAAACTTGGTTTAACATGCTATTCTGAAGTGATTCAATTAAGTCAGCATTACTTAGTAAGGGGAATTATTTTTTAGTGTGATTTTGGTTTCTAAAGCTCAACCTCAGTATCAGAATATGTGAGTCTAAACTGTCATTTCTGGTTAAAATTAGAGAGACCAGGTGGGTGAGGTAATATCTCCTTTGGACCAACTTGTGTTGGTAAGAGAGACTAGCTTTTGAGTTAACAGAGAGCTCTTCTTCAGGTCTGGGAAACTAAGGGGTTGATATGTGTATATATATAGTATGGGTATAGTGCTGCAGTGACACAGATGTGCCATTGTAGTGCTTAGGGTAGACATTATCTGTGCTTATGAGAGAGCTTCTCCCGTCAGCGTGGGTACCCTACCTCCCAGAGAGGCGGTAGCTATGTTAAGAGGAGAAGTCGACAGCATGCTGTCTACACCAGGAGTTCGGTTGGTGTAACTGCATCACTCAGGGGTGTGGATTTTGCACATCCCTGAGTGACGTAGTTATACCGACATAAGTCTATACTCTAGACCAAGCCTGAGGTCTGGTCTATGCCACGGGCTTGCATCACTATAACTACGCCACTCGGGTGTGAAAAACCCACACCCCTGAGTGACATAGTTATACTGAACTAACCCCTCTCCCTCATCCCCCCCCGTGTAGACAGCACTATGTAGCCGATATAGCTACTGCCTCTCCTGTCAGCTTACAGTGTCTTCATTAAAGTGCTGCAGGGCGGTGCAATTGCATTGGTGCTGCTGCGCTGATGCAGCATTTTAAATATAAACTTACCCTCAAAGTGTCACTGCTAAATAAGAGGTAGAACAGATTGGTTAGCATAAATAGCTAACGCATTTCAAGGGACCATTCAAAGTGAAGTGGCCTGTTTTCACCCCTCCAGTCTTAGGGAGGAAAGGAAGGGGTGGGGGAAAGCTGGGAGGGGTTTGTTAGTCGGTTACAGATTGTTGTAATAAACCATAAATCCAGTGTCTCTAGTCAGTCCATGATTATTAGTTTCTAGCAAAGTTATGGAATTAAGCTCCCAGGCTCGTTTTTTGAAAGTGTTGTGTAGGTTTCGTTTGAGGATGAGGACTGTTAAGTCAGATATAGAATGATTGCTTTGTGAAAAATGTTCACCCATAGGTGATGTGGTGTGTTCGTCTTATCGTTTTCCTGTGTGAATTCATTCAAGAGCATAGTGATTGTCTTGTTTCACCCACATAGTTGCTATTGGGGCTTTTAGTGCACTGGATGAGGTAGACCACATGTTGTGATAGGCATGTATAGGACCCAGGGATCTTGAAAGGTGTGTTGTGGGGGTGTTGATATGTCTGCCAGTTGAATCTGTTGTTCTGGCAGGGTCTGGTGCTGCTTTGAGTAGGTGTGTCCTGGTCTGTTGGAGCTTGCTTCTGATGATGAGCTTTGAGAATTTGGGTGAGTTGTTTGAAGGCCAGAAGGGGAGGGCTCAAGAAAGATTTAAAAAAAAATTTTTTTTTAAGGATAGGAGCTGAAATTCATAACTTTACTAGACATTAATAATCATGGATTGAATAGAGAGACTGGATTTATGGCTTATTGCAACAATCTGTAACCCATTAACAACTACCTCCACCCAGCTGCTGTCCCCACTTCCTTTCTTCCTTATGACTGGAGTGGTGTTACCAGGCCACTTCACCTTGAATGGTCCCTTGAAATGTGTTAATTACTTATGCTAAACAATCCCTTTCACCTTGTATTAGCAGTGACACTGAGTACCTTTCCCAGACCTGAAGAAGAGCTCTGTGTAAACTGAAAAGCTTGTCTCTTTCACCAACATAAGCAGATCCTATAAAAGATATTACCTCACCCACCTTGTGTCCCTAATATCCTGGGACCAACCAGGCTACTGTTAAAATTGTTAAAATTAGGCAGTTATGTAAATTGCTTTGGTTGTTCAAATGTGAAATGTACAAAAGTAGCTATTTCCTTGGACAAGATTAGTTCATTAAACTTTTCTTTCTTCATCAATAAAGATGTATATTAGGGTGATTTATCTAGTGCCTGTAAGTGCATGTAGCTTGTTTCCACATGTAAGTTGCATTTGAACCTTAACAAATCTTCTTTGTTTTCAAAAACTTATAAAATGTTATCTAACTTTATGATATAAAAATAGTGATCAAGGTTTTAGAAAGTGGGGCTCACTGGTTTGTTTAATTTTTAGATTAGAACTGAAAACTAAATTTGTAAAATCTACTTCAAAGTACAATTTCACAAAATGATACTGAGCATAAGATGTAAAAACAGTATTTTTAACCTCGGTGACTGTTCTCTAAGAATGAACTTAAAAATGAAGAATGTCTTAAGTTAAACATTTACAGGATTACTGATAGTTTTGTGGATTTTTGAACTGCTGTTCCATACTTGGTGTTTACTTGCATAATTCTGTTACTGAACAAATTATAAGGTTTTTTTGTTTTTGTTTTAATTCTTTTTTCAGTGTCATCCATGCTCCATTACCAAGTCCTGTTGACAAGGTAAGTCATTTGTACTCTGTCTTTAATTAAAAAGTTGAAAGAATGAGAAAAACCTAACTACTTGTAGGTGTGACTTACATTGGATTACTTTACATGGTTTAATATTTTTACTGTTTTAAAAAAAATAAACATTAGTCATTCCTTCAGTATCACAAGGATATGCATGGCAGGCTGTTTTTATGGTATGGGAATACTCTACTTTTTCCACTAGTGGTCAGGTGTGGAAACGTTGGTAAAATAACACGAAGCATGACATGTTTGGGTAAATCAAGATGGGCAGAATTATAGAGCATCAAAGGTGGTAACAAGAAGGACGTTGATGCAATAGGACAGAGGCAATGAGAGATTCAAAAAGGGGAGTGACATGAGCAAAATGAGTGGCATGGAAGATGGCTTTTGCTGCAGTATGTTCTATGGCAGGGGTGGGCAAACTTTTTGGCCCGAGGGCCACATCGGGGTTGCGCAACTGTATGGAGGACCGGGTAGGGAAGGCTGTGCCTCCCCAAACAGCCTGGCTACCACCCCCTCCCACTTCCTGCCCCCTGACTGCCCCCCCTCAGAACTCCCAACCCATCCAACCCCCCCTGCTCCTTGTCCCCTGACTGCCCCCACCCCTATCCACACCCCTGCCCCCTGACAGCTTCCCTCCCCCGGACTCCCATCCCCTATCCAATCACCCTCTGCTCCTCGTCCCCTGACCACCCCCTCCCGGGACCCACCACCCCTAACTGCCCCCTGGGATCCCACCCCCTTATCCAACCCCCCCTGTCCCCTGACTGCCCTCCCGACCCCTATCCACATCCCCGCCCCCTGATAGGCCCCCCGGGACTCCCACTTCCAACCCTCCCTATTCCCCATCCCCTGACCGCCCCCCCAGAACCTCTGCCCCATCCAACCGCCCCCTCCTCTCTGACAGCCTCCCAGGACCCCCCGCTTCCCGCCCCCTTACCAGCAGCAGGAGCTCGCAGCCGCGACACCCAGGCAGAGCCAGCTGCGCTCCCCACGCTGCCCAGCTGGAGCGGCGGGCTAGAGTGCGGCCTGCGGGGGAGGGGGGGAATGGGGGAGGGGCTGGAGACTAAGCTCCCCAGCCAGGAGCTCAGGGGCTGGGCAGGATGTGGCCCGTGGGCCGTAGTTTGCCCACATCTGTTCTATGGTTTGGAGTGTGAGACATGTGAGTTTTAAGGAAGACTGAACATTATATCCTGCCTCAACTACTGTGACATCTACAATTGTAAATTTGAGTGGTATCCCATACTTTAAAAAAAATGTTATGGAGCCCTTTACTCAGTGGATAAGAGATAATTAGATTAGGAACAGTGAAGTGACAACAACATCATTTGTTGACTTTTATTATAATGAGTTTGTTGACAGTTTGGGGGATGCACATGTATATCTCAAGCCTCTACCTGCCCTGAGCCAAGGCTATAAATAACCTGATGTCTAATCCTCTGCCTGACAAACTGTCTTTATGAACCTGTTCCTTTTCACTTTTGTCTGTGTCTGGCAGTGTTTTTTTTAATTACTATTATTATTCCTGTTTTAAGTATTTCTTAGATATTTCCCAACAAAACAAAACCCTCAACTTAGTTGAAAACTCTCCACCAGTTCCGAATCTTATGGCAGATCAGGTATTGAAGCAAAGTTGCGTCTCTTGTTCCCATGAGTTTTCTGCTCTTGGTGGGTCTGGAGAGTATAGCATGATTAGGAGAATGACTTTCTGCTGTTTTGTAGGTCTTTCTCTAAGTTGGCCCAAGCCAGACTCTAAAGCCTCTTTATGCAAGAGTCATTGTCAAACAAAGCATTAGAGAAAATTTTGGGGTCCTTGGCATGTTGCAAAACATAGGTAGTAATGAGGCCTCACCCAAAATTTTTGACTGAATTGGTTTTACCTTTTCATTTGAATCAGTCCATTGCTGATTTATTTCCATGACCATTCAGCCATGCTGGGGGGACATCAGATGATATTAAGAGCAGTCAGCTACTATTTAGATAGAACTTTCAAAAATCGTACTGCAGATATGTGGATTTCACTTTTTGTGTGTGGTGGAAGAAACTTGTGCAGACTGATGCTTTGTTTAGCATAGAATATATCATAGGAAGGTAGCATGGTCTAGTGAGCAGGGCCCTGGACTAGGAGTTAGGAGACCTGGGTTTCATATCCAGCACTGCCCCGACCTGCTGTATGATCTCGTGCAAGTGGTTTCACTTCTGTGCATCTGTTGCCTTCCACGCCTTTGTGTGTGTTTTTTAATTTAGATCGTAAACTCTTCAGGGCAGTGATTTTTTTCAGTATCTGTTTGTTTGTACAGAGTGTAGCACAGTCGGGCCTCAGTCCTGTTTGGGGCTTGTAGGTAACATATTGTAATACATACAGTAATGGTAGAATAGTAAAGGTGCTAAGAGGAAAAAGAACTGGTAGGCAGTGATCTTCCTTAAATATTTACAGATATTTTGAATTGTCTGAGTTTGATGTAGAATACTCAACATGATTTTGATAATATTTTCTTATTTCATAGGTTGCTGCTAACACTCCCAGTATGTACTCTCAGGAACTGTTTCAGCTTTCTCAGTATCTACAGGTAAAACTGTTTTTCTATGAAGACATTCCTTTTTTACTCATTAATTTGATAGTTTATGCAAATAACACAACCAAGTAGTTAATCTTTGTTCAGAATGTAAATCTTTCATATGTATGTGTACACCTGTGTATGTTCAAAGTATGATTCAGTTTATAAACACTAACAGTTAAGAATTAGCTTCCTTTTCTGTTGAAAACAGCATAAAATATATGGTAATTGCCCTTGTATGGTATTTCTTTTATGAATATTTTTATTTGGCTTGCATAAGTATAGAATTCTATATATGCACATCCCTGCAGACTTGACAGTGGTTTCATATGCTATATGCATCTGTATAAACATAAATCTGGTACTCCCTCACTTTTCTTAGAATTGAGAATAGGTTCCAACCTTTTTGTATTTATAATTCTGCTTTGGAATCATTTTAATACTCAAAAAATATTAAAGGGCTGTCTGTGAAGCTTTTTAGTAGTATGAGTATGGAGAATATCAATGGGAATTACTAAAATGCATTAACATATCACTCTGGATTTTTAAAGAAATAATTTTTATCTATCACTTAACCACCATTTTTTCTTTTAAATAGATTTTTATCTTTATTTTCGTTCCCCTTTCTACTAAATGTAGTATAAATGTAGGTTATGTAGATTGGTTGGTTGTAGGAAAAATTATAATTCCAGTGAGAGGAAGAGGTATGTTAAAGAAAATTTTAGCTTTTGGGAAAAGATGAAGGGAAAGGGATGATGGATTAGCTTGCATGCATGGCATATTTCCTTTTGATTCTGGAACTAGGAAGTAGCATTTATGTTCTGAACTGTGAATCACGATCTGTGAGGTTGATAATGATAGTTGGATTTGTGGAACTGTGTGTATTTTTAGAAATGCTTCCCAAAGTTCCTCTAAGGCATGCAAAAGCATCTTGCTACCTTCTTGCTGTTAGTGCCAAATAGTTCTGGTAATCATAAAGCTACTCTGAGGTAAAAGGCAAATATGTGCTTTGTTGCATTCCTCTATTAGAAGGGAATGTGGATTTCTCCGTGTCAAACTGATTTGATGGGAAAGTGCCAGGAGTAAGCAGAAGTGACTTTGACCTATAATTTGGACTGATATCACCTGGCTAGCAGTGCAATAGACAATCTTATTTGTAAATCTTTACATAGTCTGTTTTAGGCTTCACCTAGTAAATCTTGCAGTTCTCTACAAATAGAAAAGGTTTAGATAGCCTCTTATGGTTTCATCTAGTAGAGCGTTATAGGAATAAAACACTTAGACTTATACACTTCAAGGTCAGAAGGGACCATTGTGATCATATAGTCTGACCTCCTGCACATTGCAGGCCACAGAACTTCACCCATCCACTCATGTAATAGACCCCTAACCTCTGGCTTGAGTTACTGAAGTCCTCAAATCATGATTTAAAGACTTCAAGTTACAGAGAATCCAACATTGCACTAGTTTAAACCTGCAAGGTCTCTCTGCCAATCTGACCTGGGGGAAATTCCTTCCCGACCCCACATATGGTGATTAGTTAGACTCTGAGCATGTGTGCAAGACTTACGATCATCAGATAAAATACTGCTCACTCACCTATAAGATCATCCATCAGGTTATGTAAAGATTTTTACAGAATAAGTCTTTAATCTCTGAAAATCTTGTGATTTAGATTTCTTTCCTGGGAAATAACCCTGCTTATGGGAATTAACTTTTTCAGAAAGGTAGTTGAATTGCAGATATTGGTAATTATTTCATTTATTGATTATATTGAGCATGATCTGTGTGTACTATAAATGTGTACACGCTGATATTTATATACATTTTCTTGCCGATAGCATGCTTTGAGAATCTGAGACTAGAACTTTCTTCTTGCCAAATGTAACCTCCAAGTTTCTGGTACTCTTCAAGATCTGATAAACGTGCCTCCAAGCCTCTCTGAATAGAGAAGGGTAAACTGCACCATCTAGTGGCTTGAAGGAGAACTTTAAAAACTATTTGTTTAGAAACTAGTTTTTCACTTAAACTTAATTAATGGAGTAGCTAACTTGTACTAGAATTGGGCAAGGTGCCTACTGTAAACTTGTTTATTCAAGACACACAGGGCCTGACTTTGTTCTCACTTACACTGGTTTCACATGGGTGTAACTGATTTCAGCAGTTATTCCTTGTTTACTCTGGTGTGAGAGCCTGCTCAGGCTTTTTGACTCTGTTACATAATTCATTTATTTTCTATTTTGGTAACCATTTATAAAACCAATACTTTTCTGGTGCTCAGTTAATATAATTTACGCTACTTTCCCCCTTCTGCCTTCCTACATGTAACTAGATTTTAATATAGCACTGAATTGCTTAACACCTATATTTACTTGACTGAGTAGGATGTGACATGACTGGGAATATACAGGTGAACTTATTCACTCTGAAACTGATAGCCACCTTTTCTGAGGGACCTATGGATGGGCCACAAAATAGAGGGCTCATAGTATCCAAATAACCCTTTTTAAAGAGGCATTGTAGAAATAAATGTTTATTTGAAAATAAACATGTAAATCATCCCTACTGATAATTCTCTCTACCTTCAATTACATTTCTGCCATTTCTGTTTTTAGTTTACAGGTGGTAATTTTGAATCATGTTTAGATTGTAATCTCTTTGAAGCAGGGACTGACTTTTTGTTGTGTCTGTACAGAGCCTATCATAGTGGGGCCCTGTTCCCTGATTGAGCCCTCTATTTGATAGTGAAATGCACGTTCAAGATGGCATAATGTTCATTTAAGGAAACCAGTTCTAATAGGTACAGTAGGAGGATTGCCCATGTAATAACGGAAGCTATATTTATATGATGATAGTGCCTAGAGGTCCCAGAGACTGGGAACCCATTCTTCAAGGCATTGTATGTACCCGTAATAAAAACAATGCCTGCCCCCAAAGAGCTTATAATCTAATTAGATGGTAAAAGCACAATACTGCACTTCCCATTTTACTCCTGAAAGCAGACTTCCATTTTACATATGCAAATTATACAAATATTTAAGCTACTATAACTTAAGAAATCCTTTGTGAATTAATGAAGGACAGAACAGGTTATCAAAGTTTCAATCTGGCAACATATTGTATACCTCCGTTAATGTTCATAACGCTCTGTGTTACTTTTGCTTTATTCAAAAGAAATTAACCTAGGCTAGAAAGTTCACTATAATATTGTTCAGTAGAAGAGTGTAGCATTATATAATAAGTCCAGATTTTAAAATTGTTCACATGAAAATGTGCATGGACAGTTTGTGTGGAGTTATGGTAATTGTGTGTGGAAATGACCAATTGGACATTTAGCTGGTCCTTTGTGCATGCATATTATTGTGTACATTTAAAAAACTGTGCCCACTCTATACATATAATTGAATCAGTGTTTGGTTTTACATGGTATATATGGTTGTAAATTAATTCAGAGGACTGACGAAAATTTGTCCCTTAGAGGTAGCGTTAAATAAAAGGTTAAAACACACTATAGATATATTTTAAAGAGTGTGTTGCCTTTTAGAGATGATCCTGATTGTACATTTCAGTGTATAAGTGTTCTTAGAGTGTTTACTCCTGGGGAATTCTGCACCAAAAAAATAAAAATTCTGCATACAATATTTTAAAATTCTGCAAATTCTATTTGTCAAAATAACATTATATAATCATACCAGTTTCAATTATTTTGGTAATTTATTTCAAAATACCTGTCAGCAAGTATGTCTGTAATAATACAGACACACACAAAAATTCCCCAGGGGTAGAGTTAAAGAAACCTCTATGATAGCCCAGTTCCTGCTTCTCTGCCCTCCACCTCCCCCAAAGAGCCCAGCTGCAGGGCCCCCCTGGCCCAGACGCTCACACTCCCTATCCCCCCAGAGCCCAGTGATGGGGGCTTCCCCTGGGCCAGAGGCTCGCACCCTCTCCCCCCTAGAGCCCAGGAATCCAGAGGGAGAAACAGACTGATGCTGGGTCCTGGGATTGCACGGAGTTTCCTGCATGCTGCTTCCTTCCTTCAGGGCATGCTGGGAACTGCAGCTGCCAGGAACCCTCCAGCTTCTACTCCCCCATCCCCCGGCAGTGTCTTCTACATGCAAGCTGGGCTCTGCTGGGTCCAGCAGCCCCTAGTGATGGCCAGTAGCTCTGCAGCCCATTTCTGTCAGTGGGGAGAGGGAAATTCTGCATGCACAACATAAATTTCTGCAAAATTCTGCATTGCGCAATGGCACAGAATTCCATTAGCGCAGAATCCATGAGTAAGTGTTAAAAATAAGGGCCCGTATAGTATACACAATAACAAGCTGGATCTAAATTATGTGATAAGATTTCTACAGTTCTCTAGTGTTAAGTTCTGTAGAAAGCTGAAAATTCTGAGGCAGGTGTTAAATGTAAAAAATTGAGGTTGTGTATTATGAAAATTAATTATCACTATGGTATTGCATTTATTTTAATATTAAAATACTTATGCTGCCCTTCCCTCATTTTGATATTTTAATTCTCCCACTGTTTTTTTTAAATATTGATATAGTACTAACTTCATTGTAGAGGTTATTTTGGCTTTTAGAGAAGGACAAATAGATATGAACAGGAAGTTTTAACAAATGGGATAATGAAAAATTGGGGCATTTGGTACCTGTAAAAGTGTGGGAAGGAGTCTGGGGGTTTGGGCTTCCAGGAAGTGGTTGAAGGTTTTGTCACTAGTGATGACATTAAATGCTGCTTCTCTTTCCTTGCACCATGTGGGCAGGTGCAGGATTGATTTGGGATTTGCAGGGATGGGGAGAGCTTTACTTCCTAGTTTTTCACCCAGCAATCAGCCATCCCATTGCCATAGTCCAATAACAATCATTGCATTGAACAGCAATGGATAAGCACACCACTGACTGTTCCTGCTATAAAGTGCTCAGCAGTAAAATAGTTAATGTTGACATTTAAACTGTTATCATGCTTCAGTTAGCATCCAGAGATGAGTGGGGCAGGTCATACCTCAGAGCTATTGTTTCAGGCTCAGAAAGACAACACTGCAGTAGTTAATGTTCAGTTGATATTTTTAAAGATAAGCTAATGCTAGATACTTACTTTTAAATAAAAGCTGAAGTGAAAGTCCTAGTCTGGGACTGTGGCTTAGTGTACTATGTTCTGAAATCACAGTGTGCTAAGCTGTACTCAAGAACTTTTACTGGATTGTAGCAGTGTCCACATGGGAAGCTGGTGTTCTATAGATTCAGCCCAGGTTCGCAGCATAGTAACTTTCCATATAGGCAAGCCCGTAGTGAACTCAAAATGATCCTTCCATCTGCAGAAAGAAAAAACATAGCCTGCCCTTTTTTTTTTTTTAGTTTGGCATTCTCATGTAATTTAACAGAAAAGATAGTTAGAATCTCCTATATGATACTTCATATTTAAAATACTACCTAGTTCTCTGAAAAACTTGCTCTTGACTTCATTATATGTATTGCTATTCTTCACACATTGTATGCACATCAATGTATGTATTATTACACTCTTATTTTTGTCAGATGTAATTATACAGTTTATTATGTGTTTGTTTAAATATTACCTACTGCTAAGTTAATAGTAGCTCGCAAGTAGAAGTAATAAGTTTTGCCTTTTAAAAATCCGTATTTGGTGGCCTATTCTTTGAATATATCAGAATTTTTTCATTGTATCTAATTACATTTAAGAATATTTTTATCTTAAAACAGTTTTATAAAAATTAGTCCATAAGGTACACTGAAAGTCTTGAAAAACTGTTCTTTTTTTGTAGTCCACTTCTCCAAACAAATTTACAGCAAATTCATGATGTGAACATAAGCAGTCTTCTCCTGATGTCACCACTAAGTTAATTTTTGTTTACCATTAAACTAGCTTCTACACAGTATAAAAATTGAGTTTCTCTCTCTATTCATCTGTAGTTGTAAGAAGCGAAGTGTCATGATGTCATTACTCTTCTAATATGTACAGGATGGAGTAGAAGCTAATCCATGTTATTGATTAATATAATGTAACTTTTTCCTAAAGCATGTACTTCAGAATATAGTCGTAACTTTCTGTAAAATCTAACTTTTGAAAGGTAAAATGAAGTTCTAGTCCTTTATTTCCAGCATAATCTCACAAAATCACTTTGAATAGTGCTTTATCCCCAGCCTTTACAAATATAGAACCCAGCAATAAGTTGCTATTGAGACTTTGTCAAAGTGTTCTTGCACCGAATGTACCTGTCCTGTAGTGTATCTGAAACTGGTATGAAAAGGATGGCTTTAAGAATCTAAGCTTGTAGTGTAACATCTTTTCACTTAAACATCTACAGGAATATGTATAAACAAAAATGAATTTAAATTTGCTAGTGCATTGCTATAACTTAAAATGATTGAACATATGAGTTAAAATCTGCCAATCTTTTCACCCCCTTTTTTCAGTTTAACAGTATTTGGTTATACATTGCATTGCTTCTGTTTTTCCCAATAGTTAGTTTGAACTGACCTGCTTCTATTTATATTTTCATCGTAGGAGGCCTTACATCGGGAACAAATGTTGGAACAGAAGTTGGCTACCCTTCAGCGACTGCTTGCTGTCACACAGGAGGCTTCAGATACTAGTTGGCAGGTATTTGCAAGATTTCTCTTAATGTACAGGCCTAAGAACTTAATATACAGTGGGCTGTAAACTGTAACTTTCAATTATTATAATAAATAAAAGAGTAAAAGTTGAAGGTTGATTCTCTCCCTTAAGTGAGAAGGAGACATTACTCCTAATAGACTAAGTTCACACGTACGTTTATCTTAGAACTAACCAGTACTACTAATTGCTTCCGAAGTTAATGTCTCTAAAGGAAGTGATATTTACCTTTTTCAGATATTTAATGTCTAGAATTTTCTTACGAAATGCAAAAACAGTATAAACATTTTGTTTTATTCTGTTAATTTAAATTTATTATATTTTCCAACAGGCTTTAATAGATGAAGACAGACTACTATCAAGGTTAGAAGTCATGGGAAACCAATTACAAGCCTGTTCAAAAGTAGGTAGTTCACTTCAGATTAATTATATAGTATTTAGGAATGTTGAATGGCAGTGTCCTCCTGAAATTTTTCAAAATTAGAAAGTTGTTGTAAAGCAAACTTCCAGTGCAGATGGAGCACAAACTTTCAAATAGGCTCCCTGAAGCTTCAGTGTGGTGGGATTTTGGCTGACTGGCAGGGAGAAAAGGGTCCTGGCTCCTTTAAGATTGCCCACATTGCCTTGGGTTTCGAGGAATAGACAGGAAATGGCTGGTAGTGCACTGATAGAAATGAGTAGATTTTGTTTTAATTTTTGTTACTTTAGTAATCAAATCTGGTTCTAGAGTCTGCTGCCCTAAACATTCTAGCAAATGCCTGTCTCATACCAGTTTATACCCCGCTGGACAAACAGCCACTGAACATTTTGTTGCCCTTAAGATTTTTACATTTGTCAAAATTGTTACTCTATTCTTCTTGGCAAAGTAGATCTTTAATGGTCGTTTAACAGAGAGAACTACTGCATGTTCAACAAAATGTTAACCTACAATAGAGTGTTGTTTTGAGATATAGATCCACTATGTTAAACTTCTACTTACAGAATCAAACAGAAGATAGTATACGAAAGGAACTTGTAGCATTACAGGAAGACAAACACAACTATGAGACAACAGCCAAAGAGTCCCTGAGGCGGGTCCTTCAGGAGAAAATTGAGGTGGTCAGAAAACTCTCTGAAGTGGAGGTATTTAGATTTTGTTTATTTTATAATCAATGTTGTAGCACTATTTGAATATTCCGAACAGATAGTCCTTTACTCTAGTCTAGCACTTGCACTGCACCAGCATATGTTTATGTTGCATTAGTATTCTAGGAACAGTATACTGGAAAGTACTGGAGATGTGCATTTTGCCTGTTATACAGTATTTTAAGCAACAGGGAAGAAGTTAATGCACAGTAATGAAAACAGTGATAGGTCAGTAACTAAAGTCCTTATTTTTCATTTTTTTTAAAAACTCAGTGAAAGTGTTCTCCATGCAGAAATTAGAGTGCTGTATAATTCCTGTTTCCCATATGACATACTTCATATATTTAAAAAATACAGTTTGACAATCGTTAAATAAGACTTTTAAAATGAAAGCTTAACGGGTCATGCAAAATACCATTTAAGAATTTTTTTTTAATGAAATTTCATTGGCCACAATCTACCAACTGTTTTTTTTATTCCCGTCCTTCAAATCCTTCCTCAACAATTGCTTTTTTTCCTTCCTTTTCACCAGTGATCTCTATCTATTCCTTTCCTCTTATCCAACTTAATTCTCATTTTAAAAAGTAACAGAATTTAAACTCTATTCACAATATAATTAAACCCACTGTTTCAGGGCCGTCTCTGGCTTTTTGGCCGCCTCAAGCAAAAAAAAAAAAAGGAGCGCGGATGCAGGGGGACCGGCTTGTGGGCGGGGAAGGGGGAAAGAGAGAGAAGGGGGCGGCCAGGGCTACAGCAGGGGCGCTGCCACGCAGCCCCTCCTGCTGCACCGCCTCCTGCTGCCTGCCGCGAGGGCTCCGCTCCGGTCGGCGGGGAGGGAAGGAAGAGGACTGCCCTGGTTCTCCGCGCCGCCGCCCCCTACAGGGCAGCTGGAACGGAACAAGAACAAAACAAACAAACAAAAAAAGCGGCCATGCCGCCCTAAAATTGGGCAGAATGCCGCCTCGAACAATCTGCCGCCCCAAGCACCAGCTTGCTCAGCTGGTGCCTGGAGCCGGCCCTGCACTGTTTTACTCTTTAATTCCTGTTTTTCTTCATTTTCTGTGTCAGCTTACTACAATGAATAATTTGTGTTACTATGAGTAGTCTCATGGCTTCAATCAAATTATTCATGTGTATAAAGTTTCTCTCATGCATAAATGTTAAAATTGGGCCTCTAGACTTGTAAACTCTTTCGGTAGGACCTGTCTTTTTTTTTTGTATGGAAGGTATCATGAAATGTTATGGCACTATAATAAACTTCAGGCTTGACATATAAATACACTTATTTTTTGTTTTGTTACTTCTCTTGACAAGTTTGCTAATTATTGCAGGTGCATTTTTGCTCCTCCAAACACACTTCTTTTTGATCCTGTAATAAAATCATAATACCAAATTTCTGACACATTTTGATATATTAATTTCCTTGTCTCTGAGAGAAAACTCTTAATCCAATCCTAATTTCATTTTTGTATACATTTTTTTTTTTTTTTTTTCAAATTTGCTCCGCTCTAAAAGTCCTTCGATATTTGCAGATGGAGTTTGTAGTTGAATGCTTTTGTTATTAAATGTGCATTTCACCCCTTTCTTGATGATGTAGTTACTAGGGGAATCTAAGCTCAGATGCTGCTTCAGGTTTTTGGTAAAATAATGCAACAACTACTCAGGTTATTGCTGTGTGCACTGTTGCCAGAGATTTTTCCCTTTGTGGTATCTGTTGGGTCGGCTCTCGTGCCTTCTAGAGTCATGCATGTATGTGCTGGTATAAGGGGCCCAGCCAGCTGTGCACCCTCTCAGTTCCTCCTTACCACCCGTGACAGTTGCTGGAACGACCCTTTCTTGCTCTGGCAAGATTTCTTCCTGCTGATTTCAGACTCTTTCTTCATTCATATTGTTAACAGTTTAATGTATACAGTTTCTGCAAATTGTGACAGTGTATATAGTTCCTATCATCAAAGGACTTTTCGCCCTAGGGGCCGGGCATGCCCAGTCTCCGGGCTACAAGCCTTGTGCCTGTGAGTGACCCACACTTGAGTTGCTTAAAGAGCTTGGGAAAGACATGTGAAAGACAAGTGCAAAATCTGTTGGGACTTCAGGCTAAAGGCTATCCTCATGGAAGCTGGCCTCAGACCTGTCTCAGAGCTGAGCTGCTCCAGTTCAGCGCTAAGTATTCTGGCATTGGTGCGAAGCACTCCCCCAGCACAAAGCTCTTCCCGGCACCATTCTCCATCCCCAGTGCCGAGGAAGAACAACAAAAAGCAGCGTCCTGAGAAAGGGTGCTCGCCAGTGCAGAAGAGAGACAAGCAGGGAGAGGGAGTGAGACCTGTACTGGGCCGCTCTTCTACACCTGGATCCACGTCGGCACCATCAACTTCACCAAGGGCATTGAGTCCAGTGCGGGACCCTCCACTGACACCAGGGAGCCACGGTGGTACCAATGGACTCATGGTGCTATCAACCCCAGAGTCTTTTCAGACAGTTAGGGACCTTTTCTCTCTTCCAGCCCAACAGGGCATCTACCAGCTCCAGCATCCGGAAGCGGGAGGGAACAGGGTATATCAGGTGCCTTCCTTGCACCAGGTGTCCCGGCACCATCCAGGGGCAAGCCCCACCTGATGCCAGCATCCCGCTCCCTGGCACGCCGCAGAACCCCAGCACCATATGGAAGCGGAAGCAGGTATTGCTCCACTGTGGTTCCCAAGAGAGAAATCCTCTTTGGAGTCCAAAGGGGAATCATACGTACTGCCAAAAGCCCATCATTGGTACCCAGCCTATGCCCCAGCAAGCTTCACTGCCAGTCCCCTGGCGGACACCTAGCCAGTGGGTCACTGGCTGATGCAGTGGCTTTACTGGAATCCCTTGGGGTTTCCCCTGGTAGCAGGGCCTGTCTCCCACTGCTCCTACTCGGTGGCCTCCAAGAGACAGGCCACCACTCCTTCCTGCTCAGATCTAGACTCTGATATCGCCCCCACTACTGAAGTCCAGGAGAAGCCTCTAATCGACATAGTTGAGGAAGAGGAAGGAGCTCCTCCTCTGGGGCAAACTTCCTCCTCGTCATCCCCAGATGAGGCTGTTGCCGGTCCCAGCAGCCTACTTCCTCAGTATAATTTCAGGGCCCCTCAGGACCTTCTGAAGCAGGTCGCTTCAAACCTGGGCTTGGCTATCAAGGAGCCCAAAGAGACATCACACAGCCTTATTGATATCTTGGCTGCAGCAGCTCCATCCAAAGTGGCCCTGCCAATCAATGAGGGTGGTGATGGGACCAGTCAAGGCCTTTGGCAAACTCCTTCTTCTCTGACCCCCACTTCAAAGAGGGGAGAGGAAAAATATTATTTGCCAGCAAGCGGGTTTAATTACCTATACTCTCACCCTCCCCAGGGTCCCTGATGGTGTCTGCCGCTAATGAAAGGGACAGGCAGGGCCAGTTGAGTGCTACCCCTGAAACAAAAAGACACTAAGAAATTGGACCTTATTGGGGGGAAAAAGGTTTATTCCACGGGTAGCTCCAACTGCGTATCGCCAATCAGCAAACTTGGCTGGGGAAATACTATTTTAATCTGTGGGACTCCCTGAATAAGTTCAAAGACTCCCTGCCTCAAGCGTCGAGTCCGGAGTTTGCCACCCTCCTAGAAGAGGATAAGAATGTGGCCAGGACTCCAGGGGGCTCTGGATGCTGCTGATTTGGCAGCCCGGACAATAACCTCCGCAGTCACCATGAGGTGCTGTTCCTGGCTCCAGTCCTCACGAGATTCAACAGTCAATCCAGGATCTCCCATTTGAAGGCTATTCCCTTTTCTCGGAGCAGATGGACACAAGACTTCATGGACTGAAGGACTCAGGGCCACCCTATGATCCTTAGGCCTGTATGTGCTGTCTGCTTTCAGAAAACACTTGAGGCCCCAGCAGTTTTTGGGACCTTCAAAATCGGAGCCCTATAAAAGAAAAGGCAGAGGTTATAAACAGCGCCAACCGTTCCTGTCCACCTCAGCCTCCCAGTCAGGGCCCCAGAGATACTCCAGCAGGCCCAAGCAGGCCTTTTGAAGGTGCGCTTGAAGAGTGTGCTGTACCAGTCGCCATTTCAAATCCCCTGCCATTTTATTTTTGGACCATCTGTGCTCTTCAGTCTGGCTTGGGCATCCATAACATCAGACAAATGGGTCCTGAGTACAGTGACAGTCAGATATACCCTTCAGTTTTTATCCACTCCTCCTTCCCAGCCCTCTTCTGGGACCATTCTCATGAGCAGTTCCTTGTCCAGGAGGTGCAGTCCCTCTTACATATGAGGGCTGTGGAGGAAGTTCTTCAAGACTTGAGAGGGAAGGGATTTTACTCCCAATATTTCCTAATCTCAAAGGCAAAAAGCGGGGGTCTGGTCCATCCTGGACCTGCATTGCCTCAACGGGTATCTCAAGAAACTGAGGTTCCGCATGGCCTCCCTGCCCTCCATCATTCCCTCCCTGGACCCAGGAGACTGTTATGCCACCCACTACCTGAAGGATGCATGCCTTCACATTTCTATATTCTGGGGCCACAGAAGATTTCTCAAATTTGTAGTCGGTAATCACCACTACCAATTCACTGCCCTTCCCTTTGGCCTATCAGTAGCTCCAAGGGTTTTTATGAAGAGTATGGCGATTATAGCAGCCTTCCTCAGGTGGAGAGGCGTTCAGGCCTACCTGTCCCTTGATGACTGGCTGATCAAAGGTTGGTCACAGGCTCAAGTGCAAGACAGCATCGGTGCACAGTCCAAACCACCTTCAGAGTGCTGGGTCTGCTGATAAATGAGCAGCAGTCAACTCTTTCCCAGTTCTGAGAATTTATTGAGGCAGTGCTCGACTCAACCCAATCCAGGGCCTTCCTGTCAGACTATGGCAAACCTGATATCCAAGGTCTTGGCCCACCCAATCACAACAGCTCGAGTGTGCCTCAAGCTACTGGGTCACATGGTCACTTACATGGTGGTTCAATATGCAAGGCTGCACCTCAGGCCCCTTCAGATGTGGCTAGTGTCCGTATACTCCCCGAACAGACACCACTTACGATCCGTTTCCCGGTCCTCAACTCCCTGGGCTGGTGAAAGAAGTCAAGGTTGGTAATGAAGGGGGTGCCCTTTGTGGCTCCACAGCCTTCGGTGTCTTTTTAGTTTTGGATGCGTCAGACCTAGGGTGAGGAGCCCACCTCAACAACCTCAGTACTCAGGGTCTCCGGTCCTGGGAAGAACTCTCCCTGCTCATAAATGTCAGGGAGCTCAGGGCAGTGCACCTGGCATATCAAGTGTTTCCCCAGATCTCAGGCAAGGTGGTTCAAGTTCTGACAGACAATACAGCAGGCATGTTCTATATCAACAATCAAGGAGGGGCCCAAACCTCTGCCCTGTGTCAGGAGGGCTTGGTCTATGGTACTTCTGTGTTAGATACTCCATTACTCTTGAGGCATCTCACCTCCCGGGAGTCCAGAACGTGTTGACGGATCACCTCCACAGTTCCTGCTCCTCTCACCACGAGTGGTCTCTTGCCCGGAGGTCATCAGTGTCATCTTCCAAAGGTGGGGGCCTCTGCAGGTAAACCTGTTCACCAGGCAAAACAGAAAATGCCATCAGTTCTGTTTGTTGCCCGGACACAGTACGGGCTCCCTCTGACACCTTCCTGCTCTCGTGGGCAGGCCACCTACTGTACCCCTTTACAATGATTGCCTTGGTTCACAAGCTTCTCCTAAAAATTAAACAGGACAAGGCAAGAATTATCCTGATAGCACTGGTGTGGCCATGCCAGTATTGGTTTGGCATGCTTTTGGACCTCTCAGTGGCAGCTCCACTCTCACTGGTGTTCTTCAAGGACAAGGTCCAACTGCACCCTCATGCAGCCTTCCTGCCAAAGGTGGTGTCACAATTCCACCACAACCAGGTCATTTTTCTACCTGTCTTCTTCCCAAAACCTCTCAAAAGCTGTGAGGAACGACGACTTGTACATTGGGCATTAGGCAGATCCTCACTTTTTATATTGAGAGTATGAAGCCCTTCCGCAAATCCATGCAACTCTTCATGGCAGTAGTGGAAAGGATGAGAGGGCTGCCAGTGTCAGCCTAAAGAATTGTGTATGGATAACCGCCTGTATTCGGGCTTGCTATGAACAGGCGAATGTCCTGCCTCTAGTTACTATGACTGATCATTCCACAAGAGCCCAGGCTTCATCAGCAGCATTCCTTGCACAGATACCAATCCACGACATTTGCAGAGCCATGACCTTATTGTCTCTTCATTCCTTCAATTCATACTGCATCATCATCCAACAAGCCCAGGACAATGCCAGTTTCAGGAGAGCAGTGTTGCAGTCAGCATGTCCATGAACTCCAAGCCCACCTCCTGGGGAACTGCTTGTGAGTTACCTAGCATGGAATGGACATGAGCAAGCACTCGGGGGGGGGAACCAGTTACTAACTTTTCGTAACTGTTGTTCTTTGAGATGTGTTGCTCGTGTCCATTCCATGACCCACTTTCCTACCCCTCTGTCGGAGTCACCAGCAAGAAGGAACTGAGAGGGTGCGAGGCCGGCGGCACCCCTTATATCCGTGCATAAGTATGCAACTCCAGAGGGCACTAGAGCCAGCCCAGTGGATACCAGTAAAGGAAAAATTTCCAGCAACAGTGCACGTGGCATGCACACAGCTAGCGTGGAATAGATATCAGTAACACATCTCGAAGAACAACAATTATGGAAGGTTAGTAACCATTTTTTTTCCAGAGCCTACTCTAATTTTTTCTTGCACACACAACTTGTTTCTCCACTTAATGTATGATTATTCTTATTTAAATTGAATGTTACAAAGGTGTTTTTAAATAGGTAGTATTTTTACCAACACTTGATCCATCCATTTGGCCTTTATTAACAATTAGAAGCAAGGAGGTTTTTAGATCATATTTCTTGTCACAAATTGAAACATTCAGTATCAAACGTCAATATCCATAAACTGTCGCTATTTTTGGTTTTCACATGCACTAATTTTTTCCTTATAGCGAAGTTTAAGTAACACCGAAGATGAATGTACTCACCTGAAAGAAATGAATGAGCGGACTCAGGAAGAATTAAGAGAATTAGCAAACAAGTACAATGGAGCTGTAAATGAAATTAAAGACCTCTCTGACAAACTAAAGGTAGGGACAGAACTTTATCTAACCTTCTGCAATTGTTAGCAATGCTAGAGTGCAAGGACTAAATAAAAACTAGTAATAACATTCTCATGATAACTTTTTTTTTTTTTTTTTTTACCACCAGAGAGGGAGTGACATGGCTCTTTCAAGCTCGTAAATGACAATACAGACCTATTTCATGAACCTAAGCATTTTGATTGGTGAAATGAGAAACTGAAACAGTTAAGCTGTCCTAAAAAGTTCTTTGGACACCTATGCTGTCCAAATGAAACTGAGATGTTTGTTCTTTTTTTCTATATTTTTCTAGTAATAAATTGTAAAAATAAATTGTTCTGGGATGCTTTATCTTTTGTTATGGTTCCAAACAAGGTGTGTCTAGATGGACAGAGGCTTCTAGGACAAATGATGGAATAAATTGCTATGGAATTACATTAAAGAAATGGAAATACAGGAGAAAATATATCCATATGACATAAATAAGGTTTCCATGAACTTACTTCTGGAAACGGCTTTGTAGAAAAAGTTTACAGATGAGTATTAAACTTTCTTTATCAGAGTGGCTAAAAAGGGAGTCCCCTCCGAATGTTCACTCACATGAAAATTAAGTGTGTCATTGTCTTACAACTAATTTTTTCTGACATTTGAGCAGGTGGCAGAAGGAAGACAAGAGGAAATCCAACAGAAGGGACAGGCAGAAAAAAAGGAATTGCAACATAAAATAAATGAAATGGAAGAGCGAGAACAAGAGCTTCAGGCAAAAATAGAAGCTTTGCAAGCAGATAATGATTTCACCAATGAACGGCTAACTGCTTTACAAGGTCAGTCAGCTAGTCAAAAAATGCTTTGATTATATCTTTTTTTTTTTTCTTTTATTCTGTGAAATATCTTTTTCTTGGAATTCTGTTTACAGTACGGTTAGAACACCTTCAAGAGAAAACTCTTAAAGAACACAACAGTTTAGGTAGGTGTGATATTAATGTTCTTTGCTTAAAGCTGGATTTCATCTTTAAATTCTTTACCCTATTAATTAATTATATTATAGCAATCCTTATGATCTAAGTATTTCTGACAATAGGAAAAAAGCGTTAAAATTATGCGTTTGGCTGTTTCCTCTTGATCGCTGATCATAGTTGCATTTGACGTGTTAAAAGTGAAAGTAATGCCGATGTAACAAAATACCAGAAGAGGGCACTGCCATTTAAAATGTTCATTAAGTTTTTCTTTTGTTTATTGCTAGCTTGTGAACTCAAATATGTTTGTGTAGGAAATCGTTGTTTGGGATTGGTTTTTTTTTTTTTTTTAAACATTTACTTAATGGACGGTAATTTTTGGATGATGGTAATTTTTGACACATTTGATCAATATGTGACAGGATCCGTCGTGCAAGAAAGTATCATTAAATTGTATCATGTGTCCTAACATAAATTATTTGATTTGATTGTTGCTTCAATACTTAGGATAAGGAGGCAGTATGGAAAGCCAATTACATTTCACAGTGTGCTACATAAAATACTTGGCTTGAATCCAGAAATAATACCCTTTCTTAATCGTAGGCATACAAGTTGATGACTTCATACCTAAAATTAATGGGAGCGCAGAAAAAGGTAGTGTATCTTAAATAAAGACTAACTTTTTTCTTATAGTTTCTGTTTAAACTTGAACAAATTATGTTTATTCTCTAAGTTTTTGTTTTTAATATTTCCTGTTACTTTTTTAAAACAAAACAAAAAAAATGTAGATTGTCACCTGTTAAAAAGACAGTCTTTTTGGTTAGACTCCAAATCTAGGTTTTGGAATAAGGCTTTTCAAAACCTAATGAGTCAAATCAGGAAGTAATAGCTCAACCTTTCTTCAGATGGTCTCCCACTGAATTCAAAGGAAGTCTGTCTGCCTAAGATGTCAGGATCCTGCCACTATATTAGCAGAAATAGTTTCATTACTTTTAAAAAATCAGTGTAAACATTTTTGTACTTGCTTGCCACCCAGACACTGTACCCTTCAGCTAGTAAGTCAGAAGAGGTAAGTAAATAGGTCTGACTAGAAGGAAGTGAATGTTTCAAAGTCTACCTTGAGTGAAATATAGAAGTATATAAACAACATAAATGGTAAAACTAAATAAGATTTTTAAAATGCAGTTCTTATCTAAGATGTTAATAAAACAGATACAGTAACCTCCTTTTTCCACAAATGAATTTAAAATGATTTTTTATGACCTGTGTCCCTTTAAGTTAAATACACTTTTTTAAACTTTACTTTTTTGGGGTTTAATTACCTATATATTTTAAGAGTGGGATTGCTTTTTCCTGCTGTCAAAAAGTGTTCATTATCACACCGTATATAGTAATCAACCCCAGGCTTTGACCACATACAGAGTGGTGCTCGTGTATGAGGCTAGAACTGGGCCTAGAATAGTTTATTATAAAATGTTGGAGAAGACTTAAAATTTGCAATAAATAATCATAATTTAATTTTTTTTGTCACATATATGAAAATATGTACTATAAATGGTACAAAAATGGAAAAATATTTTTGCAATAAAGGACTTCTAAAATAACGTAGCGTGGTGAATGCTGAAGATGTTCTTTAATCTGCCACACTAAATATTGATAGTTTGAAAGCATCATTGCTTTTGGTCACTAATCTTATTTAATAAACTGGCACATATTGGTTCAGATCCAATGCTTTTTAAAAATGTTTATTCACCTTCTATAGAGTCAAAAGGGTTGTTACTGCTAATACAGTATTTTTTTCCTAACGGAATGAGTTCTTCTATAGGGCTTAATTTTGGAAGTTTAATTTTGCTTGCATATTAAGTATTTGTCTTAACTTTTAGCATGCAGACTTATTTTTGTCAATAAAGCCCTCCATCTTTCAAGCATGAATTCTCCCTTTACCATGCTTATCCTTGCCCCCAGTGCTATTCCAGACAGGGTTCTGAAGTTCTACCATTTCCTCCTTTTATATTTATTGATGATCTCTTTCCACTAATAGATGTCTTGCTGCCGTTAATGTCCTTACTGTATTGCATGGCCTCCATGGAGATTGATGATACTGTGAATTGTCCAGCAGAAAACACTTGTGTAGAGAGTTTGATTGACCAATGTCTGCAGCCTTTATAAGTGCCATATGCATTTTGAAGCAAACTTTAAAATACTATATATTGATCCTTTATTAGATTTGTATATAAATGGAGGCTTCTCATGTGAGGTTTGTAGCTATCTCAGAATGTATAAACCACACATGGGGAAAACTTAGAATAATACCTAAAGAAAGTGAAAGTGTGATGAACTTTACTTGTATGCTAAAGTCCCCTAAGTACCAGTTATCTCTCCTAACTCCATCCTGAATTCCAGACACTTAACTGTGATGCGCATTGTCTCTTACTCCTTAGTGCTAATGTCTTTTGTATGATATTTCTCTGACCTACTGCCAAGTCACCAGATTGGTTGTAAATTATTTTTTTTTAGTGATGTAGGGTTCTATCTTAGTGTCCAGAGTTTCAAAACATTGGAATTTTAACCTTAGTGACATTTTAATAATTGTTTAAGAAAGCTTTTCAGTAGTGTTGTTTTGAATCTCTAGAAAGCGATAATTTTTTGCATAAGGAAGTGCATTCACATTTTTTGTAAGTGAAAGAATTGGTTTAAAACTGAAATGTCATGTTGTTCAGTTACTGAAATTGTGACATATCCTGTAGAAAACACTTTGGTGCACCATGATTACTTTTAATCTTCATGCTATCCAAACCATAAGAAAATTGAGGGTTAGGATTTTTTTCAGAAAGTAATACACACTTTGGACAAGAGTAGCTTAAAGCTAAGCTGAAATATATGGGTTTTTTTGTGTTTTTTTTAATTGTGAACTTCCAGATTACAAATGTATGTATTTTAGAACAAAAAAGTTGAAAGGAACCGTGTCAAATCTAGAAATTTTTCAGAGTAGTTTTAGGTAATGCACACGCCAATTTTCTGGTTTTACAGCCATATTTTCATTTTAAAAATTTTCTCCCCATTGTTGTGACTGTAATGCCAGCTCTAAGCACTGAAAAATGGTGAGCCAAGCCCCCAAATGTAAGAGTCAGATTGGTTTAAAAATGATATTTAGATAAATAAATAAATTGTTGTTTTTTTGTTGGCTGTGGGTTTTTTCAACTCTGTGGGGAAGCCTCGCACCCCCAATTTGTACATGGTCACCTGAGGTTCAAAATTTAATCTAAATACATAATCGTTCCTATTCGCCCTGTGCGTATACCCTGGGCTTCTTTGTGTCCCTCTCCAAGGACATGTAGGGCTGTGTGGGCGATCTGCCCTCATTTCCTTGTCAACCACCTTGGCCTGAGATGGAGCATTAATGTATCTTACTTTCTAAGTCTATTTAGCCTAGTTACCCTTCTTTATTATTTGATTTTTTCTTTATTTATTTTATTTATTTTTATTTAGAGATTTAGGGGGACTTTCTCTCAATCCCTTTGCGGAGGGGGACATTCCCCTTCTGAATACTATTGCCCCTGTTTCTGCCAGCATCTCTTGCTGGGAGGCCATCCCAATCAGTGACAGGCATTCCCATTGTATCTGGTGCTTGAGAGAGTCCCATATCTCACAGATGTGTTCCATCTGCTCCCCTTTTAAAGGCAGAGCAAGGAAAAATTGGGAGCTAAAACTGAGTCTCTTAATGATGAAGCATTCCTTCTATCCGGCCTCAGATCCAGACCAAGAGACCCCCCCCCTCCCCCCGGACTTTGGTTGCTAAAAAAACACAGTGCTCCATCAACTTTGGCATGTTCCCCACAGAAGGAGATAATTTAAAAAAACCTTGGTCCCTGCGGAGCAAGACCATGGCAGAGACCTCTCATCCCACTCTGGGTATGGCTGAGGCTCCAGATACTCTCGGTACAATCCTGTGTGCAGGGCTCTAGGCTCAGCAGAGAAAAATGACCACAAGCATGCCTCAGTATTGAGACCTTCAGTGCCGCACAAGCCAGTCACTGCATCGTTGAAGCCTCCCACCTCTGTGAGAATTGTACCCACAACTCCTTCAGTAGTTAATGTCTACACTTAAATTGGTCACTAAGATAACCTTGGTAGCGGGAAGACACCATCATTAGTACCCTCTACTTAGACCAGAGTAGACTTGCCAGAGCAGCATATAGCCTCAGTACTGACCACATAACAGGGCCCTGCTCTTCAAACCCACCTAGTACTCCATGAGTTCAGATTCTCAAGGTGTCTAGTTTCGAAGGAACCAGAGTCTCCCTTGTTAGTCGGCACTGAAAGGTTATCAGTACCAAGACCAGCATGGTTGCTGAGGCCTGACCTTTCCCCAGTGCTGCTTGACTCTCCAACATCTTCAGAGTGTGCTGGGGTCCACCTCTTAAAGAGCAGGAATTCCCCTCTGATTTGAATATTTCCATCCACAGTTCGCTGGCACCTCAGACAAAAGGATTTCCATCCTGACTCTTTTCACAAGAGCAGGGAGCTACACCAAAGATGGGTCTGTGTTTCCCCAAGTTGGTTCGAGCACCAATGGATACCACCCCCTATGAATTTTGGACCTCCCCAATGGCTGTACTGGTATCCTGGGGCTGCATATTGTCATCAATTTTCCCATTCCCCTAGTCCCTCCTGTGGGAATACAGGGAGAGATGCTCCCCTCCTCCAATTGCTCTTCCTCCGCTACCTTTGGCACAAGAATCCTTTTGAGGAGCAGGAGGCCAGGGCAGATAGAAGTTACCAAATAAATATTTCTTAGGCTTGGTCTACACTTACCCCCCAATTCGAACTAAGGTACGCAACTGCAGCTACGTGAATAACGTAGCTGAAGTTCGAAGTACCTTAGTTCGAACTTACCTCCGGTCCACACGCGGCAGGCAGGCTCCCCCGTCGACTCCGCGGTACTCCTCTCGTCTAGCTGGAGTACCGCAGTCGACGGCGATCACTTCCTGGTTCGACTTATCGCGTCCAGACAAGACGCGATAAGTCGAACCCAGAAGTTCGATTTCCAGCCGCCGAACTAGCGGCTGGGTATAGACGTACCCTTAGTCTTCCCCACATGCAATGGTTATGCATCAGCTGTGGCTGATTGTCTGCCACTTCCAAGCATTAATGAAGCACATCATGGATTCTCACCAGATCCCCTTGGAAATGGTCAGGGAGTCACAACATAAGCTCTTGGACATTCTCCAAAGAACTCCTTCTACCTGAGTTGCCCTACCTATTAATGAGACCCTGTTGGATCCTCCTAAATCAATCTGGCACACCCCTGCGACAATTCTGCCAATGTGTAAACGGAAATATTATGTGCTGGCTTAAGACTTTGAATTTTTGTTCTCCCATCCAACACTGAACTCCCTGGCTGTGGAGGCAGTAAACTAATGTGGCAGAAAACATAATGCAAAAGCTGCACCATACTATGAGGACCAAAAATGCCTGGATCTATTCAGCAGAAAGACCTATTTATCCACGACTCTTCAATTTAGAACCGTGAAACTCTCATGGTGAAATACAATCACTTAAATATGCTAAATTCACCACATTTATTGGGCTCTTGCCGGCTGGTCTGCATGACCCGTTTCAGGCTATTATTACAAAGGTCAGTTGTTAGCTAGAGCATCGCTACAGGCCTCGTTAGATGCAGCCAACTCTCGAGCTGGATCCAAGATGCCAAACTGCTCAAAGATCCCACTCCACTTCATTCTCAGAATTCCAGAGACCGTATGACCCACCCAGGAAAAAGTCAAGGTTCCAGAGTACGAGACCACTTGCTTCCTCTGCACTCGCTACTGAACCATCATTATCATCTGAGCATTAGTTTTGACAGTCTGCTCGAGGGCCTGGAAATATCCCACATCAAGCTGCATATACATTTTACTCACCTTCAATCCTTTGGAGGCTCTTTCCCATGCAGAAAGAAAGTGGGAGAAACAATCAGATTAGACTAATGCATGCTGGAGGTTATATCAGGGTTCACTATCCATTTTACCTCCCTCCCCTATATTCAGCCCCCTTCCTTGTCCCTCTTTAGGGTCCCCTCTCACAGGCATCTCTTAAAGCAAAAAAGTTGATTCACTTCTGCCAATGGGTGCTGTACAAGGAACTATTCATCACAGAGGAAAGGGGTTTTACTTCAGCTATTTTCTGGACCCAAAGAAGAATAGAGAATAGAGATCGATTTTTTTTTTTAATCGATGACAAATAACTTTGTCAAGTCACAAAAATTCAGGATAGTGTGTCTCAGAGCTATAATTCCATCATTAGAATCAGAGGATTAGTTTTTGGTCCTCAACCTTCAGGATGCCTATTTTCATATCACAGTTCACCCATGTCTCAAAATATTCCTGTGCTTTTCAGTGGACCATTTGAAGTATTGAGTGCTTCCTCTTGGTCTTTCATCTGCCCCAAGTGTGTACTCAAACGTGCTGGCGGTGGTCGCAGCTGACCTCTGACATCTGGGGATAATCATTTTTCCATACCTTGATGACTACTCAATGGCCTGTCTTACAACTAGATTTCCAGTACCGCAAAGATGATGAGATCCCTGTTCTGCAAGCTAGTGTTGCAGCTCAACATCAAGAAGTCCCCATTTGAGCCTGGTATTAAAAAATAAATAAATAAATAAATAAGAGTACATAGGAGCCTCCTTAGACACTGTATCAGCTAGGGTTTAACTCTTCACCTTCCTCCCCCCCCCCCAACAGATTCTCGACATTGGTAAATCTCATCTCAAAGATTCATATCAGCCCACAGACATCAATAAGAAGTTGTCTTCAATTACTCAGATACGTGGCGGGCTGCCTTTGTGATGCCATGTCCCAGGCTCTGCCTTCAGTGTTTCCAGGGTTGGTTCAGGACTGTTTTTTATTCTGAACAAACACAGTTAGTGTTGGTCCCTCGTCAGGTACGGGTCTTTCAATTGGTGGAGGAACCCAGATAATGTCTAACCATAGATTTGGTTTGTTCAGCCTCCTCCCTCTATCACCATAACGACAGATGCATATCTGATGGGCTAGAGGCACACTTAGGGACCCTCACCGCCCAGGGCAAAGGTCTCTACCCAAGAGAGACAACTACACATTCGGTTCCTTGAGCTGAGGGCAGTCAGTCCATAAAAATCCTCACGAACAACATAGTTTGCATGTTCTATATCAGCCAACAAGAAGAGGCCAGGTCCCCCTTCCCTTTGTGATGAAGCTGTTATGCTCCGGAACTGGTGTATAGCCAATTGCATCCTTATTTCAGCAACTTACTGAAACAGAACAGGTTAGCAGACTACCTCAGCAGGCATTTCTCACAGGAATATGAATGGGAGTTGGAACCTCTGATTTTCAATCAAATTTTTCTGACTTAGTGGGTTCCAAAAATAGATCTTTGCCATTGTGAGCAACAAGAAATGCAAACATTTTTCTCAAGGAAGGGGTTGGGTCCTTTTCTCTTTGGGAGCAGCCGTCCTTGTTCCATGAACAAGAAGTCTTCTATATGGCTTTCCCCCCCCATGCCCCTGATTCTGAATGTAATAAACAAGATAAAGCATGACAAGGCCAGAATTGTATTAATAGTCCCAACGTGGCCCAGACAGATGTGGTATTCTTATCTGATTCACCTAGCCATCTGTCAGGCAATCAGTCATCTGCCCATTCCTCATCTTCTTTCCTAGGATGCCAGCCTCACTCTTCATCCCAACCTGAAGATACTCTATCTCAAAGCTTGGCTCCTTGATGGTTCACGGGATTAGAGTAAACTTATTCTAAGGAGGTACAACAGGTATTACTGGAGAGTAGGAAGGATTCCATGAGCTACTTCCCTCTAAAAGAGAAAAAGCTTCAGCCTGAGGTGTGTCCAGAGAAGTGTTCCACCTGTTGATTATGCCCTCTCAATCATATCTTGATTACCTCCTAGAGCTAAAAAAGACAGGATTATCCATGAGTTCTATCAGGGTCCACTTGGTGGCTATAACAGCCTTCCATTCAGCAGTTGAGGGATTCTCAGTCTTCTCCCATCCTACAACTGTAAGGTTTCTGAGAGGTTTGGGGAATCTTTTCCCCAAGTTAAGGAACCTACTCTTTTTTGGGATTTTGATTTAGTACTTAGATACCTTATGGGCTTCCCCCCTTTGAGCCAATGACTACCTCCTTCCCTTGTTAATTTATCTCTGATGGCAGCCTTTCTGGAGACCATCACCTCTGCTTATAGGGTTGGAGAAATAGGGGCTCTAATGACAGATCCTCCATTTTGCAGTATTTTTCAAGGACGTTTCATTACATCCATGCCCAAAATTTTTACCCAAGGTGTCATCTGAGTTTCACATGAACCAAGTTATCCACCTTCTGGTTATTTCCCAAAGTCCAGAGAGGATGTCATTTTACACATTTCGATTGTTAGGAGGGCATTAGCCTTTTATGTGCACAGAACTAAGTCATTTAGGAAGTCACCCAGACTGTTCGTGTCTATTGCAGATAGCTCCAAAGGTGGAGACTCTCCAAGTGGATTTCTGTCTGTATCACTTTGCTATAAATTTACAGACATATGGACTCATCCTAGGGTGTTGGCCCATTCCACAAAATCTCTATCTACATCTATGGCATTGCTCAAGAATGTTCCTATTCTGGATACGTGTAAGGCTGCCATGTAGATTTCCATACATACCAGTTTTCTAAATCAGATACTGCTATTAAAAAGGTTGTATTGTCTTCAGTCGTGGATTTGGTGCTGAAACCCCCTCCTCCAGCTGGAGGTACTGCTTGGTAGTCAACTGAAATGGAGCACCCAAAGGGACACTACTGGAAGAAGGAGGGGTTAACTCACCTTATGCAGTAACTGGAGTTCTTCGAGATGTGTGTTCCTGTGGGTGATCCACTATCTGTCCTCCTTCCCCTCTGCTTTGGAGCTTCCTCTGGGGACTTCATGGTAGAGAAGGAACTGTGGGTAGTTTGCCCACACAGCCCTATATAACTTCGGAGTAGGGCACAAAGTCCATGCACAGGCCAAATAGGCACTACTACTAAAAATCTCTGATTAAAGGTGCAAGGGATATGAGCACACCTGAAGTGGAGCACCCATAGGGGGACACATTTCAAAGAGCTCCAGTTACTGCACAAGGTGTGAGTAAGCTCTCCTTCTTTCCCTCTATCTATCTAGAAAAGATAGGCAGCTGCCCCACTCACATTCTCCATCATGCTTCCCCCAGTCTCCTGTCACCCACTTCTGCCCTGTATTCACTATGACCCCTCATATTTCCATTCCTTTTTCTGTAATACAAAGAATAATAGAGGCCCCAGCAGAGGTCAGGGCCTCGTTCCACGAGGTGCTATTCATATGTAATAAAAGACAGACAGTGCCTGACCCAAAGAACTTACAATCTAAACAGTGTGTGAAGAAAGAAGTATTATTATCCCCATTTTATGTACGGGGAACTGAGCCTCGCAAGGATTGTGATTTGACCATGGTTACAGAGGAAGTCTTTGGCAGAGCTGGGAATTGAACCCACTGCAGGACGTTACCCACAAGACCATTGTGTTTCCAAGAAATCTAATTGTGTTTTATCGTGATGAAACTCCAACCAAAAGAACCCAAGGAAAAATAACATTTGCCAACGTAAAAAAACAAAACTCTGTGTGTGTTTTCAAATTTTAGGAGGGATTACAATTAAAGAGCATAGAAAAAAAATCACTTTAGCTCTAAAAGGATTTCTTAAAATAAGGATAAAAATATTCAGATGTAGAATAAAATATGTAAAATTGTTTCTTTTTTCCCTTAGTGCAAGGATTCAATATATTTTTTTGTTCAGAAAAAATAATATACTAATGGTAGGAACTGCTTTGTCTCTCAATGCTGTGGGGTTTGATTTTCAGTAAACTGCACTGTAAGAAGGTGTCAAGGATTGCATCATCTTATATATTCTAAATTGATTTTTAATTTAAGTCTGTTGGTGAACACTGAGTTAAATCTTTTTGGTGCAACTATAGATTTGCTAGTGGAAGTAGAGGTGTGTGTGTGTGTGTGTGTGTGTGTGTGTGTGTAATTTATGACCTCGCTAAACTGAAATAGGTGTTCTAGTTGCTGCTAAATGTAGGAATTTTTGTAAATGAATCAGTTACTAAACTTGTTAAATAAAGATTTTTAGAAATAGTATAATATTTCTTGAGGTAAATATTTTTCGTTCATTTTCATTAACAACTTTCATAGAGTTTAGTATTAAAGTTTACACTTTAAAAATTGAATATACTTTTAATTGAATATGTTAAGTGTACTTTCCCAATATTTTCTGCAACCAGGTCTAAAAAACAATCTATATAATTTCTAATCTCCAAAAAATAATTAACTATTTCAACAGAATATGTCTTGTCTGCTTGTATATTAGGTTGATTCACCATATTCAAATCTGAGAATAACGCCTAATTTACAAATATTTTAATGTATATTTCAGATTTTATAGTTAAATCAGTTCTAAGATGATGAGGAGATGTAAACTGAAGTGTTTCTTTCTTTACTAGAGCACTTTCTTTCAAAGAGTGGAGGGGACTGCACTTTTATTCATCAGTTCATAGAGTGCCAGAGTGAGTACAGAGCATTCATCACATTGACTTTAAAACAAAAAACCAAAATATCAAAAATGTCATTTGAAAAATACATTTGTCAGTACTACTTAATATTTCTGCAGTAGTGGAAATGCGCTGCAAGTAAAGAATTATGGCATTATGAACTCCAACAAAGCTGACTCTCTTTAAGAGTAGGAGATATCTTTGTTACTTTTGTAAAGTGCTGAGCACATGCTGTGTTTAACACTTAATCTATGATTACTTTCTATCAGGGAGAGAGTGTGAGTGCCACAATGTTGCCGTATGCGTGTAAGATTGACCTAATTTTGCAACATTGATAATAAGAGAAGCTGGAAGCCTGACTAACATTGCCAATTAAAACAAACATTGCAGGCTGCCCAGACAGATAGGGATGAGGTAATAGTGCTTGTTGTCTCTTCTCTGTTTAGCATTATATATGTAATTTCTGATAATTTTAAGGTTTTATAATGCAGCTTGCGCTAGATCAAGTGCGACTGCAGGAACAAAACTATAAGAGACTGGTATTTTCATGTGGAAATATAAGATTTTCCATAAAATGCAAAGAAATGGAGCATAAGTGCTTACCACTGATCTAGTAGGGAGGCAGATATTTTTTGTGCTTGAGATGAAAAACTTGCTTTTCAAAGCAAATGACTTTGAGGATAATTAGTAGAGAAGCAGTCATGTCTGTATGGAGCAAAGCTTTAAAGAAAAACTCCATTTCTGCTTAGTTTGTTCTGTGAGCTGGGACAGGAGCACCAGTTCGGGAGAAACCTGAAAGCACTATGAAAGCATAGCTGGAAAATAGAATTCCTTTTAATAGCATGGAGACCCCAGAAAGAACAATGCTTTTTTTCCCCCCACTACTGTTGCGCTAGGAAGGATTTTACAAAATTTGTTAGGTGTAACTTTAAACATTTAAGTTAAATTATGAATTAATAGAGCTGAGAGAAGTACTCATAAACAGAAGTGAGGCAATAATTTTCTTTGACTACAAAAATCAATTGTTATGCATGTTGACCGCTGTTGTGTTTCTTAGGGCTGGTCCACAGTACCCGCCTAATTCGGCGGGTAGAGATCGATCTTCTGGGATCGATTTATCGCGTCTCATCTGGACGCGCTAGATCGATCCCAGAAGCGCTCCCCCGTTGACTGCGGAACTCCTGCTCGCCGAGAGGAGGAAGCGCTGTCGACGGGGGAGCCTGCCTGCGCCGCGTGGACCCAAAGTTAGTAAATTTAGTTCGATATAGGAAACGTCGACTTCAGCTACGCTATTCTCGTAGCTGAAGTTGCGTTTCCTATATCGATCCCCCGCCCCAGTGTGGACCAGCCCTTAGATTCACTGCCAAAATGTAATGAACATCGCATAGTATGACTTTATTGGTGGGTTTCCTCTTTTTAAGGCGTGGAATACAATATTATAAATTTAATTTATATCCAAATACTCTTAATGCCCATTTCAGAAGACCTAAGAAATATCAATAAACCAAAATACAAAAAAGTAAATACAGGTTAATTTCTTTAAAAAACGGCATGGGCTGTATCTTCCAAAACTTTTGGGACTGATCCAAAATTTCTCAAGTGGAGACTTAAAAAGAAAATTATCCTCAATAGTTTTAAGCTTGATAGAGATTTCTTAAGGCTCCTCTTTCTAACAGAAGGCATAGTAAAAGTGAGCTTGCTGGCCTAATTGATGAAGTCAACTTCATTTTCAGTGGTATGATGTATGCACTGTTTGTTCTTTTAGCTAATTAAAATTGTATATTAATTGACATCTTAGCATGAGATCTGCAAACTAAAGCTGATGAGCACTTCTATCACTATAAGGATACAAAAGTGATCATCTTGATTTAACTAAAAGATTTCAACATGTCTTTGAAGTAAGTGAGAGAAGAAAATAAAAGATAAAACTTATTGACAGAAGTGGGGAGAATTTGATAGCTGAAAACACCAAACTTCAAGAACCCGATCAAATAGAGGAGCCTAAGGGAATTTACAGCAAAATCCCCATTCAATTACAATGGAAATTAGGCACCTAGTTCCCTTAGGCTCCTTTGAAAATCCCAGCCTCTGCCAGCCTTAAGATTTGGGTCACACTATCTGAAAAGTTTTGTGAAACCCTGTTTTGAATGGTCTGGGAGGAACAGTAGCTTAATATATTTGTTGTTTGCTCCTCACCTATTCCCTCCATTTCTCACTGCTTTTTGCATTAACTGCTGGACTGCTTCACCGTATTTATAAGGTGAAATCCTGGTCACTTTGAAGTCAGTGGTAAAACTCTCATTGATTTCAGTAGGGCAGGGATTTCACTTTTTCAGTCTTTGGTTAGGTCTGTAGTGATACATTGCTGTTATTAATGTGGGACACTTAATTATACCAAAAGTGGTGAAAACACTATGCAGATAAGAGGAAAGTGATGCAACATGCAATTTCCCCCTTATTTTAAGCTTTGCCTCTTTTTTCTCCCATTGGTATTTTAACCTTTGCTTCTGTGCTTTTTTTTTTTTTTTTTTTAAATAAAAGTGGGTATATTTTATGTATGACTAACTCTTCCCTTAAACTTTTAAGCAAGTTTTTTATTTTTAAAAGTGGAAATTTCTTTTAATTATTTTTAATGGTTATTTCTAATATTTTCATAAATAACATATGGGACATATTAAAGGTGACCTGCAAAGGGGAAAATTGGGCTTATGTCCTTTTGCTTCTTTCTGATTTATTAAATGGGCTTAAAGTTTTGTCTACCCTGGAAGACTCTCTAATGCTTTGACTGAGTATTAATAAAATGATGATGCTTTAAGAGTTACTTGTGAGCAATTAAGAGGGGAAAGGGTTTTTAGCCAGACTTCAAACATGCAGGATAATTATTTTTTAACTCCTATGTAACTTCAGACACTGACACTTTGGATAAAAGGTGTTCTTGTTAAAGATCCAACATGTTTATTGTGAGCTGATGCACCTGAACTGTTCTGAGCAAAAGAAGACTTACCATTATTATTACTATAGTAGTAGTAGTAATAATTACAGGGCACTATTGTGCTATATGCTGTATGAACACACAGTGCCTCGCACAATGGGGTCCTAGTCCATGATTAGGTAAGATTATTACAGTAATACAAATAATAATAAGACAGTCCCTGTCCCAAAGATATTAAAACATAACTTAAAAAGACAAAGGATAATTCTAGGGTAGAAAAACAAGCAGAAAACCATAAAAAGCACCCCAAAACCTTTCAGACCACATTCATTCATCATAAAGAAGCAAACAAAAGTGCAATCTAATTTTAAAATAATTATTTGCACTTTACCTCTGAAGTACATAGTCTCAATAAATAATTCTTACAATAAACTAATATACTGTACTAGTGTGCCAGCTTCTTGAGGAGCGTCACCGGAGAATATCAGTTCTGGTATGGAAATCAAAAACTTTAACAAATGCATAAACATGTTTATCCAAAAATATGGATATATCTGTGTTTATTCAAATAGTTTACTTTGTAAGCTGCTCTCTAAAACAAATTTCTCAAAAATATACAGACAGGAGTACTTCAAATTCTCTAACAAATCCAGTGTCTGCTAGCCTTACTCACGTTGAATAGTAACTTACTGCAAAATTGTAGAATAAGGTACTAATCTTAAGTAAAGATGGCAGAATTTGGTCCTATGTTTTTCTTTGCTTTCTTTCTTGCCACTTCCTTATTTGGAGTTGCAACTTTTATAGACTTCTTCCAAAACTCATGATTGTATTCCAGGCTGTTATACAGATTGGTCTCTCTGAGGTCCACTAATATCCAGTCCATGTATCAAGACTTTGTTTTCCCCCTTGGTCATCTTCCACCCACAACCATTGCAAGAGCAATCATACCAGTATAGCTCTCAGGTCTCCGCTGGATATGCTCAAACCAGCATAGCCTAGTTTTCCTCAACTTATCTTCAATTGGAGCAATCCCTGCATTAGGCCCTTAACAACCTCATTTTGTTTCCCATCATGGAGTGTCCTACCATTTGTCCATCTCAATCTGTTCATTTCTGTAGTGGAGAGCATACTGAAATCTTTTCTAATGGCTGGCCTAGTCACTGTCCCGTATATTAGGATGGCTCAAATTAGTTTTATACACTGTACCTTTTAACATTATTGGCATCTTCTTGTCACAAGGAACTGGAGTCAGTTCCCTCCATTTGCACCAAAATGCTGGGCATATCGCAGGATGGCACCATTGGCACCAACTATTGATCCCAGGTATTTAAATTCTTTCACTCTTCTAAGCTGTCTGTCTGTGATGTCCTTTATGGTGAGTCCTGCTCCCCCACTTGTCATAGCCTTGATTTTACCAATATTCTCTCTAAGTCCAGCCTGCTCAAAACTATGTTACCACATTCCAAAGTTGGCTTGCAGGGTCTCAAAATCTTCTACATATATCACCACGTCCTGTGTATTTATTACTATATATAAATATGGCCAAGTCAAAACAAACTTTTCCATTTGCTTTGAACTTTGTTGATACTTCATGGCATCTTGCATACTGTTGTTAAACTGTTGTACAGTATAAAAATGGAAAACATCAATAGCAGCTTTTAATCAATCAGTTGTATTCATGTATGATGGTGAGTTTACTGAAGAAGTTACCACAAAAATCAAATTGTGGTCTGCAAAGCTTGTATTAAACTCATAAACTGTCTCCACACACATGAACACACTATGAATCATTGTGGTGGAGAAAACGTTAAAAATTAGTTTTTTTCATCTGAATTCTTAATAAAAAACATGTAGAAAATATACTACTGAAAGCAATTTGAGTTGGCCAGGAAAATAGCCCAAGGTCAAAAAAGACAGACTTCTTTTTTTACATTAATTGTAGACAGCTTTTTGTTTTGACCATGCATGCATTTGTGCAGAGTCCAAAATCTGCAACACATTTTGCTGCCATAAACTAGTTACACACCCATTCTAACTAATTGTTTTATGATGTGGCTGTCACCATTATGAATGGAGTCATTCTCATCTATAAATCAGGCAGGTGGGTAGCTAATGTGGATGCAGGATTCTTATGTTCAGCTCCTTCTCCAGGGGTGCAGGCAGACTTCCCCAGCTGTTTTTTGTCTTGCTAGAAGAAACTGTGGCTGGTATATATGTGAAATCCAGTCTTTTTTTTCCTGACCTCAGTAGTTTTCTGTAACTACATGGAACAAGGCAAGACAAAGGACACTTTTCTCTTTTCTGCCCTGCTCCTCCTTTCCTCTTGTCTCCCCCCCCCCCACCCCCCCAAAAAAAGCCAGGAAAGAAGGGTTGAAAATGCTTCGGGCAGGGGATCCATTGTGCCCCCCCTCTCTTGGGGGGGAGGGATAGCTCAGTGGTTTGAGCATTGGCCTGCTAAACCCAGGGTTGTGAGTTCAATCCTTGAGGGGGCCACTTAGGGATCTGGGGCAAAATCAGTACTTGGTCCCTTTCAGTTCTATGAGATAGATATATCTCCATATATTATATTATTATTACACACACACACTCCACCAGCCATGGCTTCATACAACTGCTGTAGCTTGGTCTGAATGATTGGTGGGGGAGGAAACCAGTTGTGAATAGGGTGACTATCCTGTGCTTCAGCAACCTCTCAAAGCACTTCCTCACTGTGAATGTACTCAACAATATGGCTCAAGATTCCATCCTGTTAGGGGGCAATATCTTGGCTACTTGCAGCCTAGCTTGAAGATCTTAGTCTGTTCTAGGGTGTAGATAGCTCCTCCAGTCTTTCCCTTTACTCTCCCTTTATGTTCAGAGGCATACTGGGGACTTAATCTTGAAAGGAGGTCTTGGAGAAAAAAAACTACCTCCCCACTCTGGCTTCGTACAGGAGATGCATGTTTTACTTTATTCCTCATCCATCTTTTTCATGAGGCAATCTTTAGTGAAAGTACAGACCAAGAACAAACTTCAGCATTGCTTTTGCAGGCAGGGATTTAAATCCAAAGCTTCTTACAGCCAGAGAAAAACTAAAGGTAACCAACTCTAACCACTCTTCTCTCCTTAGCATGTTCAGCACTGGGGAGGCATTTTACTGTTGCTTCATATCTGGAGCAGGATTACCTCAGACTTTGGGTGCCCATCTTTTTGATTAAGCATTTTTACTATATTCAGAACAATCACTACAACTATTGCTCCCACTTGAAAACAAAAACAAGAAACTATATCTTTCCTGCTCCAAAAAAACCACAAAAACACAAGCAGATCTTCCTGTAATGAGAAAGGGGAGAAGAGCTGAAGATTCTTTAAATTGGTTAGGGACCTTGCTATTAGCATCTCTCATATTAATTGTGCCCTTTTTTTAACTGCCCATCACTGTATTAAGATATCCTTAATTTCTGGGAAAGCGAGGACAGTTCCCATTGGGGTCTTCCATAACAGGTTCCCTAAGGCACTTTCTTATTTGTGCCTCACTGCTAAGTCTGTTACCCTTGGAGGCAAAACCTTGTGCTAAATGCCCGCTGTCCAAGCCCATTTGAATACATGCTTATCATCCCACTCTTCTTTTTGTGTAAAATGGCTTTTCTCATGGCCATCTATGTGGGCACCTGGTCACAGAACTAGAAGTGGAGATCTAGGGAGGCTCTAAATTCAGAAACTCCACTTTCTGATAAATCTAGTTTTTCTAAGAAGCTGGTAAATGCTAATTGTTCTCAGTTTGACTTTTCAGTCGTATATAAAAAACCTTTAGAATAACTTTACAAAGTAAAATTAATCCTTTATTAATTAGCTGAAGTATTTAAGAATGGATATTATTAAATAGTAAAATACTTAACATAATTTCTGCTGTATTCATTATGCTTTGCATTATAGCAAAGTTATAGTTAACTGGATGATAATCTGCTTAATTTCCCATGCCAGAATCAAATTTTTGTTTAAGCAGGGGTATGGAGTAATACCGTCCTCTTTAAATTTGGTCATGGAATGTGGATGGCAGACGTGCACAGGGAAATGCTTGCTGAATTTGGACTTGGATAGTAACGTTTATTTTGTTTGGCAGACAAGTTCATAGACGAAGGACATCTAACCAAAGTGGAAGAAACAAAACTTTTGAGAGGTTAGATTTCTAATTTATATAACTCTTTTTGAAACATGTTTTATTAGTGGGTGTGTTTAAAATAAGTTTCTGATTTAAACCAATAACTTAGTAATTTTTTTGTTAAATATAAGGTAATTTTTTAACAAGTCCACAAAGAGAGTAAATATAGTTAGTGTCCATTGATACATCACTATATAACTATTTTATGGGGGAAATCATAAGGAAACTACTTTGAGGGATGGGGGTGTGTGGAGGACTGGTCTTGACTGACTTCTCACCTGTGTATTTCTCATCCAAAGGTTTTTTAAAAAGGAATTTTTTGTAAGCTTGTTTAAAATCTCTCACTACTAAATAAATTTCAGACTGAGTTTTTTCACTGAGCAGAACCAGAAAATATTAGTTAGTCTTAGTTAACAGCTAAGAGGAAAAAGGTGTGGGTTTTTGTAAATAATCTAGAAATATCCAAACAGTGTTAAAATGAACCCTAATCTTATAAACCTGCTTTTTTAAAGATAAAACATAAATGTGCGACCCTTTAAAGTTTGTCACTTTCTTGTTTCATGATCTTTTTATAAGGAAAACTAAAATACAAATATTTATTTATGGGCAACTTAAGTTCTTTAAAATTAATGAGCCTCATGTTGCAGAGCCAAAATCAGGAGTGCTACAGATGTTAGTAATTTATGATAGTCCCCACATTGAGCACAATATTAACATTTTAATATTTTGTTTGTTCAGTGGATATAGTGGTAAAGTGCTGACATTTAACAATTTTTTCATCCTTTTCATGAATGTTTCTTAATATATCAGAGTATTGATTTCTGCCCATCTATCAGCATAGATAGTGTTACATTTAAACATATTTTGGTCATTCCGGATTCCAGCTTTGTTTTTAGAATTACTTCATCTTCTCTGTGCAATTCCATTTTAGCTTGTTACCAAGCTTGTATAAACTCCAGACAACATGCCATGTTTGGCAAAAGAATGCATACAATAAGCCTAACTGTAATTTAACACTTGCATGCCAGTATTATCTTGCAAAATGATGAGCTATTTTTAGTGTTTATTAATACTGTAATAAGTATGGTGTCAACAAATTTTAAAATAGACTTTATTTTATTATCTCATGCATTAAAGTAACTCACTTTCACTATTGAAAGTGTGGAAAGATTGAAATGAAAGAAAAATCCCAGGAAAGAGCTTTGTTACACCAAATTGTGGTATATAAAAATTAGTCAAATTTTTCATTAAAGTGCAATACCTGCAGATTTTGAAAAAGTGAGCTTAGTATTCATGAAAGTAGGGGACTACACTAAATAGTTGTACAGTTAGCTACTGGGCCAGATTTTGATTGCAGTTACATTGGGGTAAACTCTGAGTAACTGAGATCAGATTCGGACTACTGAATTAATTTCTGTTCTTAAGTCTGCCACTGCTCCTCCTGAAAATACCCCTATTATTTTTAATATTTGTTTGGCTTCTTAACCAAGGATGACCAAAAAACTATCTGAACATTGTGGCATTAGACCCAGGCAAATGTCCATAAGAAAGTAGGATGAGGCCACCAAAGTCATTTGTACTTGTTGAATTCTGGTTTCCAGAATAGAAATCTAGTTCCTCAACCTACCAAGCTACTTGGGGCTTGCCACATAGTAACTCCTCATGTAGATGAGCCAGGGTGTGACTCTGTAGCATACCAGCTTGCCACTCGGTAATTTGCTGCATGGACGTGCAGTGAAAGTCCTGGAGCAGTTGAGCATTCTGTGTTTTCAAGCTGCAGTATGCTAATTCACACTCCAGGACTTTCACTGAGTTACTGAGTAGCAATCTGGTGTGTGGTAGATGCACATCCTGGCTTGTAGCGCAATAATTCACCATGTAGGCAAGTCCTTAGTCACTTTGACTTCTGCCATTTCAGATGCAGAGCCTGCGCACGGTGTCTCCTAAGATCCAGTAAAGTCTAACCCTGATTATGGATCCTGTGTGTGTGATGGAATCCAGGGTCTAGAACTTGTACCTTTTATCCTATTTTGCATAGAGCAAATATTAACACTTCCTTATATGCATATATATATATATGGAAATGGAGTTACCTGATGTAAAACTTGCACATCTTAACATTTCTGGAATAGCCACTGACATAAACAACATGGGAGAAACTTTTAGAGCCTAAATTTGACAGTGCTAGTCTAGCCACCTAGGCTTTAAAGCAAATATGTTATTTTGGTTAATGCTTGTCAGAGCTCCAAAGGCAATTTTATGGACTGGATTATAATTATTTGGTAGTTACTATGTGCCTTCTATCTAAGTACCATAAAGTGCTTTAAAAACATTAATGAATGAAACCTCTTATCCCTGTAAGGCAGGGAAGTACTTCTCTCACTTTACAGACAGGGAAAGTTAGACGCTGAGGTTAAGCAACTTGTCCATGGTAAGTGTGAAGCAGAGCAAGGAAATAGCTGCCAGAATTCGTGAACCATTAGTCTTAGGGGAAGGCATATGTTGATGGCTACCACCTTCTTTCTTGACTAACATCTGTTAACAAAAATGAGGTACCTTGTTTGTTGTTTACCTTCTGTTGTGACTCACACATCTGGATGTTCCTCTGACATAATGACCTGGTACAATCTTTTTATCCTTGTCCTGTATGAAAGGGAAAAGTGTATTCTGTTAACCTATCTGTGTCTTACCCTTTGACCGCTTGTCTGTTTCCCAGAACAAGGGCGTTAGTTTCTGTTGAATTCGTTTTTGCTTTTCAGTTCCACGGAGTCATTGTCTGACAAGAAATAGCAAGTTCACAATGTCTGATAACTTTCTTTTTTACATAATTTGATATGTCAATTCTGATAGGTTTCCCATGCACTTATTTGTCTATAACTGCATGTCCTTTCTTCCCTCTTCTGCCAGATGCTTTTATTTTTTTTTTATTTATTTATTTATTTATTGGCATGTACATTAAATATCAGCAGGTGAAGACAGGATTTGTGATGACAGTGCTTCATGCTGATATGGAAGGAAAGACTCTATACTGGGAGCATTATAATAGCTAACTATCAAAATCCCTCATTACCTGGCACTTGTGCCCGAGGAGAAGGGTCCACCAATTTGTGGGTAGACAACAGTGCTATCCAAACAAGCCAGAGTGCAATGAGCCAAGAATACTTTATTATATGTGTCCTCAAGCCTTGATGATGAGGGCATGATTCATAATTCTTGTCTTTTGGTTCACCGCCATTGTGTCTGTGTGCATCCATCTGAGCTAAATTGAAGTTCAGAAATAAAATTAAGCTATTACAGGCACATAAAGTGAGTCTTTGGCCTTGTTGAGTCAAGCGGACTGTTGCATGGGAAAAGGATGAATTAGTATAATGAAGTCCACTTCCCTTCCCGTTTTCTCTCCTTGTGAGGCCTCTAGACCTAGCCAAAAAACTGCTTTCAGGGTTCCACTAAACTTCGTGTAACTATTTAGTGGACAGAATATAGAAGGCTGATGATCCATAAGCCCTTTCAGAGGTGCTTTTGTGCAAGCATGTAGACCATTTCCTATTAACATAACCTAAACTTAAAACTATTTTTAAAAAACTAGTTAAAATACTGATGATTCGCATTACTAAGATTAATCTTTATTCATAGTTTATTTCAAATTTATATTACAACACAATGCACATAGGCATCTATTGCTGTTGTTTTACTTATTCAAAACACTGCAAAATCAAGTTTTGTTCTCAGCAGCATTTTCTTTCCATCATGATACAATATCTGTATTGTTCTGGAAATGTTGCTGCTGTTTTTTCTGATTTGTTCCCGGAAAGACTGAACAAAACAACCAGCTTTTACACTGGGTTCCAACTGGCAAGAGTACAGCTTTAAACAAAAGCCGAAGCTATCTATGAGGCAGTTACCATCTCATGTTAGACTGTAACATTAAATATTTGATCCTACGGCCATTTAATTCATTTTGGAGTGGGATTTTAAAGACTCAAGAAAAACACTGGCTTTTATTAAAGCACAAGTGTAACAGTTCTCTTCAGTTCTGCACTTTAAGCAGCATCTAGCAGTAGATCTAGAATTTATACTAAGGGGGGAGGAAAAGCCATAGGAAACACACACGCACACACATTTTAATTGAGGTTCTCCTTGTCTCTTACAGAAAACCAAGCAAGAGCAAAAGAATCTGATTTGTCAGATACTCTTAGTCCAAGCAAGGAGAAAAGCAGTGACGACACTACAGGTAAATTTGGGTGTAAATTTCTGCAAAATGGCTTTGGTGTTCGTAAGTATGTTAAGGTTTGCTATTAGAATCTAGAACATAAGCTACATTTCATATTTAGCTCAGCCAATTAAAGTGTAATTAAAGAACAACATGAAATATAGTATTTTGCTACCTTGTAACCAGGTTGGGGATGGGGGAGAATGAGGACAGTAAAGATTTCTCTGGTCTGTTTGTAGAATCTTTTTGTAGAACTTGACTCTAGTCTACCCACTGTTTTAAAGCAATTTAACTTTTTTGTTGTAGATGCCCAAATGGATGAACAAGAGCTAAATGAGCCTATTGCTAAAGTATCTCTTTTAAAAGGTAAACAAATGTACATATTTTTTAACTTTAAGATGTAGTGTGACAGATCCAAATTCTGAATAATACATGCGTGTTTTATTCTAGGACTCTGTATTTCTGTCAGATGAATATTTGTAGCTAAGTGAGAAGTGCTCAAGTTTAAATATTTAAATTACTTTATTAAGGAAGTATGTTTGAAAAGAAATCGTGATTCATTCATCTGAAATAAAATAATGTAGCCAAGTGTTAGTGTAGAGATAAGTGACAATTTAAAATTAGAGTACTCTTTTTTTTCCCAGTTCACACCAGTGCTGCTAAAATAAATCTTCATGTGTAACTTAAAGCACAAGTCAAGAAAATAATAGTTTCTCTTCATGTTCTGTTTCTCGGTTGTTAATCAGTGTATCTCTTCTGGTCATTGTTACCCAATAATGCTTAAAATGGCTGCTATCTGTGTAAATTGTTTCCATCGGTGATGAAAAAGACTCCTTAGTTTGTAATTTGGTATTATAGATATTTAAAGAACTGTTAAATCTTCAATTATGAATGTATTTATGGTTTATCATAGATGTTATATTAGATTTTTCAGGTTTTGCTAAACAAAACAGCCTATGTTGGATATATTAGCTTTGGACATTGAAATTAGAAAATCAGATTCTTCTGTAGGAGACCTTCATACTGCAGTCAGACCTAAAAATGTATTTACTGTTTAACTGGAAACTTGCCATGTTCAGCAAATTAATTTTTTCAAATTGATCACATGAAAAATAGTTTAAATACAAGTGATAAAATATTAATATACCATTATATTTAGCATGTTGAAAGGTAAACTTTTGCTTCACTTCTGTAATTATTGACTTTTTCTTTTATGGTCAGCAATGACACAGTTCTTATGTTGGATTACAAATGAAAGGAACACTACTAGCTTTTTGTTTGCTCAAAAAACTTGGAAACCATACAGAAACCTGAAAGGCTAACATAAGATCACTTCCTCGGTTGTATATATTTTCCCAAATTTTTACTGGAAAAGATGAGATTTTTATATCTGAAGTACTTCAGAGCAATTACAAAATGTTCAGTGATATAGCTAACCAACAAAAATACATGGAGTATAGCTTATTTTGGCAGATTAGAGTCTGGTGAAACAGTTTAAGAATTCAAGTGTTTGAAAAGTCGAGGACATATCAATAAGTTTGGTTTGGTAACTGTAATTAATGCCATTAATGGGAACGTAGATGTATGCACTGACTTAATCTGCCAATAGATAAAATTTAATACTGTCATGTTCCATAAGTTAACATAATTACTTTAATATTTTTAGTAGTAAATTTCAATATGTGGAATGTGTTGCTTCTTTCGAAGAAAAGCTGTATGAATATTACTGGTTGTGAATTTTATCATAATATGTTGTTGAAGTAGACAAACCTTGAAGTACAAAATGTGTGTATACTTCAGAATGTGTTTGTCTGCAGTTCTTCTTATGCAGGACAGAAAGCCAAGAAATAATTTGCAATATGTCATGTAGTACAATAGCAAATCCCTGTTCACCCACATTTCAAATATAATTTATTTCAACCAGGAACTGATTTCTAATGTTGCCATATAATTCATTAATCCCTCTGTATTTAATGTATTATAATTCAACTATGTAAATGAGTTCAAGGATGAAATTTGTAAAACAGGGTATCAGACTACGAAAGAATTCACTTATTTAAAAATCAGTTTGTCTGCCTTGTAAGATATGCATGCTGTACTGTAGGCAAAAAATACCTTATTACAGAAGTATTACTTTTACCATTCTAAAACAGTTTATTTTTTTAAGAGCAATTCTGGAAGTCAACATGATTTTAATCATGTTTTTGGTGGGGAAAAAAAGTAATGGTGGAAAAGAGCTGGCAGACCATCTAGTTTCCTTTCCTATAATATGCAAGTGGGTTCCTATTGATTTATTCATGAATGCTTTAGCTACCCTATATCTGCTTATGTCATGTGAGAAGAGAAGATTTTGGCCAATCAGATCCCAGCAAAATCAAACATTAGTTCTCTCAAACAGCACTAAAACTAGAGATCCCAAATCAGTCACATTACTTTACTTAGGCCACTCCTTCAAGCAGGTATAATTATTCACACCTGTGAATTATTTATATGTGCTATAACAACCTTTCCACAATTGAAAATCCAAGTAGTCATCAGTACTGAACTTCCAAATTATTTCCAGCAGGAAAGTAATTTCGTTTTTTACATTTTAGTATTTTGTCTTGCCATACAAGAGAAATAATACTGCTGTTGAATTACACATTTAATAAATTACTTTAGAAGTTGACCAACCTCATTCATTTGCATGCTGAAATTGTTTATTGCTCCTTACAATCCATTATTATGAAATATCTTTTAAAGATCTTCAGCAATAAAGCATTAACTTCTATTGTAATAATTTCACACACAGCCTGTAAGCCAGCAATTTTATTCAACAAACTTTTCAGAATGCTGCATTAGGCATCTCGCTTCCCTCCCGACTAAAGAGGGTCTTACTTGTTAGAGTAGGACTCAGTTGGCTTAGCTATGCATTAGTAGAGCCATGGGAAGACAAACGTTTTTCTGAACTAGAAGCTGTTCCTGGGGCTTCTAGGGAAATGCTGAAGTGTCAGATGGAAAACTAGTGTTTCAGTTTGTTCAATTATTTACCGGAATGTAGAAAACAACTTAGGAAGTTACTGTAATTCATGGAACAAGAGGATGGTGATACGTTTCATTTTGCTTCTGTTTCTTCCATGTGTGTTTTCTATCATTAAACTTCAAATTTATTAACACTGTTTCTACTTTATACAAGTCGAAGTGTGGGGAAAAAAATCCATAATACTTTGTGCATTTGCTAGACTTTGTTTTGTTGATGAGGTAATGTATTTATCAGCCACTAATAGAGGTTTCTTGAAATTTGCCTTTTAAAGACAGGCTAAGTCTCTCAGTAGCTGATAATTACAAAGAAAAGTTGAAGAATTAAAAATAGGTATCTCTGTCCAACAAATACAGCACCAGGAAACAATCAAGGCAGCTAGCACTGATAGTTCTTATCATCAACTTCCTAATGTTTCTTTAGATTACAAATGATGCATTCAGTTGTTACTTAATACAGTTTGCATACTCAGTGTTTCAGGAATTTGACAACTTATTTGTTTAATCTAATTTATTTGATTTCAGTAGAACAATGTTTTTCCCCAAAGGGAGGCTCGCTATTGGATAGGGTTCTTCAAGAGCCCTGGAAGTGAGCTAGATGCCTCAAATATGAGAGCTGTGCAGATGTCTTACTTCATGAAATTGCTTCCACAGATTCTGACTCTTATGGATGCACATGGATATGGGACAACTAAAAGGCAGAGCCTAGCCAGGGTTCTGTGTTTATATATGTACAGTAAGACCACTTCTGTAAAGACAACCATATAGGTGGAGTTCTCTTGGTGCCTTTTTTTTCCTGCCTGCCCTCAGATTTGGAAGTGTTGGTCTGATCTGGGTTTTATTTTTCCTGTACTGATCTTCTAGGGCCTTAACATTTATTTGATGGCAGATTCTGACATTAGAAAGATAATTTCAGTTGTTTGGAAAATGTTTCCACAAGTTGTCCCTCACAGACCATCATAGGATATGCCTCACATGTTTGTGACATGACTCACGGCCTTAAGAAGAATATCCATGTTCAGACTTCTTGCTTTGAACCAGATTGGTGGGGGAACAAATTATATTAAGTTTTACACAGCAGTTCTAACACTATCCATGGAGACAAAAATAGAAGTCGTCCTTGATATTTAAGGGAGTGATTAACTTATTCTTTTAGTGCACTGATACTTTGATGTGAGGCACAGGCTTTAAGGGTTGGCAGATATATTGGAGCTAGCACTAACTTCTGTGCCCCTGGCATTCTGATTATCTTAGATACAGATAATCTCAGGCACTTGTCTTGAAGCTATATTGAATGTTGCCCTTTGCACCTTTTTCTGGTTTCAGTATATAGCAAGTTAGCCTGCCTGATATCAATTGAAGGCTTTCTAATACTTAGGAGTGTAGTTTGTCTTCTTCCTCTAGATGTTTTGGAAGTTGAATGCCTTCTACACTTATGATGGTGATTTATACTTCCTTTTGGATTTGCTGATATATGAATGGCTAAGGGAATGTTTTGGAAAAAACTGCTTATTTCTCACTTTTCAGAACTCTCATCCTTGCCACTCTCAAAGAGATGTGTCTATATAAATTAGAAAATTTGAATCCCTTTCTTTCCCTATCACACTTCACTTTGTGTCAGTGTCTGCTTTTGGGAGGAGGGTTTGTCCTATTTTTATCTTTGCCTTATTAATTCTGTTATAGGTCACAACTATTTGTGAGATCAAGAAATATTGTTTTGATGAAGAAACTTAAGTCTAGATAAATATTCTAAAATATTTTGTTTTTCCTTTCACTTTCTTCCCACGTGAAAGATTAACTCTTAAAGATTGAAGTAGTTTACCACTAAGCAGTCTTCAAATACTGTTTATAACTCTCATATCACTGATAAGTTTACATGAATTCCTTCTGCAAATCTTTGTGGGGCAGTTAGAGGGGAAAATTGTACAATATTTATTTTGGGATACTCTAGTCCTGTTTAGACTTTAGAAAATGTCTTATGCTATTCTAGATGTGGAAATATACATTCCACAAATTTTAATGGAAACCCTTAGTTAAAGCTATAATGGCCAAAACATTAAGCCCAGCCATATTAGAATTGCATGCAAAATTGCAACAAGCAAGGGAAAGAGCAAGTGTGTTCCAATTCTGATTAAAGTTGTTCTGAAGAACAATTTGCAAAATTATACATTTACAAACTAACTGCCACACAGTTCAGTAATCTTTGATTACTGTGTAGAGCTGGTTGATAACTTTTCGATAAAAGTTTCTTTGTTGGAAAATATTGATTCATAAAAACTGGAACTGTTTGAGACGTACTGGGCTCAAGGAAACTATGTCAAGAGAGGTTTCTCAGGTTCTGGATGGAATTTCTGGTCAAAATAAGAGCAACTTGACCCCCTGAAGAGCCTGGAAACTAGGGCAGTCATTTGGAATGTGGGAGAGTCAGGCTCAAGTCCTTGTTCTACTTGATTTGGAGCAGGTACTTGAACCCAGGTGTCCCACATTCCAGGTGAGTGCCCCTAGTCACTGGGCTGTAGAGTCAATTTCTCTCTCTGACCCAATTAATATTTATTTATACAAAGTGAAACAGCTCAAACAGGAGAGAGATCTGAGTTCAAGCCTCTGCTCAGGATCAATCTCTCCTGTTTGAGTTGTTCCATTTTGTATAAATAAATATCCGTTTGGTCCGAGGAGGGGAAAAAAACGAAAGTATGGCTATTGCCTTCTCCCACTCTGTGGGCCTGTCTGATAACTTGAATAGTTTTCCAGCTCCTAAGGAACAGTGTTACTGTTAAATGGAATCTACAGTTGATGGGAGAGAAGCTGTCCGCCAGAGATCTTAGCTGAGATTTCTACTCTATCTATGGGTGGGGCACTACTTCTTTACCATACCTGACTTGAACACAACTTGTTTTCAGTACATGAATGAAAAGGTTGACAATCTAGGCAGGACAAAATGTCCAACTACACAAGCATTTATCTCTGGGAGACTGAGAACGATGCCTCTGTAATAAAGAAAAACTGTGGTTAGAAACTCCGGTTGACCATAGAAGAAAATATTTTGTTCAATTTTTTCAGTTTTCCTATTTTGTCCTTTTTTATAATCCCAGTATGTAAAAATCTAAATGCTAAAATTGTGCTTTTTAAAGAAGTTGGCATCATTACTTCCCCATCCACAAGGCGATTGCTGTGGAAATTAATTGTAGGACTTAATTTTTATACCCTTGTAATGATCAAAAAGCTATTCTGTTACATTTCTCATCTCTGCTGGAGATGTTGTAATGGACACCTTTCCTATATTTTGAGGATATAATAAGACACAAACTTGTGGACACACGCAACATGAAATATATATTAATATTCAGTTTGACAAAAATCCAATTTGTTATATTTTAGGGGAGACACCTGCAACAGTGGTCAGCCACAAAGAAAGATCCATGTTCAGGATGTTAACTACCACAGCATGGAAATGTATAACGCTACTTTGGCGTTCAAGGGGAAAATCCATTAATATGTGGTTAAAGAAATTGCAAGAGGTCCAAGACATGGAGTTTATTACTGCACGAATAAGACAAGCACAAGATATTTTTCTGGAGAGATGTGATATGATAAGTACTTTGTGGTGGTATGGTGAAATGATAACTAGCTTATTTAAGAAAAATAATTGAGACAAGGAACTAACTAGAACAGTTATTTCCTTGATCTAATATAAAGCTAAATAAATAAACAAACAAGTATAAACAATATATAGCAAAAGTAAAACTTAATAATGAACAATCATTGGTAGTTTGTCTGGACTCTCCAGCAAAAGTATCTCTGGGTCTTGACTAGGGTTTTTCTTCTGCACAATATAAATTAATTTTAGTTCTGTATGGATTTTGGGATTGTCAGTTTATTAACCATAAGCTATGTAATACACGCTTCTTTTGTTTCTCATGTCTGATAGCTGGACTATCTTGTTCTCTCTATTTTTCTGCAACCAGACAATTGACTTGAATTCCTTGAAGTTTCTACCTTCCATTGATGTAATATATGTAGTTTGATATTATTGTCTGTTTCCCTATAAGGGCCTGATTCTACAAACCCTTATGTGAATAACACTTACATGAGAAATGTTAAATACGTAAGAGTTTCAAGGATCACATCATAAGATTGAAAATTCCTTGGAGCTAGAACTGTTTCTTTCTCCTCTAGTCTGCCAAGTCATACTACTGGTACTCAGTTATTAATAGACAATGGGAATGATATGCTGTTATTAGTTAAGGTTTTTAAACATTATATTATGTTTCTCCTTTCTGCTATTTGAGTATTCAGTAAATTTAAGTTGAAAAAGTATTTTGTATTTATTTCAGACAAATATGAATATTTCTAGTCCATTGGCACAGATGATTTCTTTTTATTCCCTGAGGTCTTTTGTTTGTGCAATTTTATAAATAATACAAAAACTTTGAGATGGGGAAGAACAGATTTGAAAAGTTTTATGTATTGTAATGCATATACTTACCATTATTTGAGCTAAAAATACATCCTTAGCCATGATCTGAGATTAAAGGAACTTTTAATATTTTCAGAGTAATACCACAGTGAAGCTAGGGTTTTTTTAAGCCAAAACTTGGCTTGACTTTCAGTTGGGCCTAACATCTGCTTTTCATGTTGACTTCAAATGGCTTGCTCAGTGCTTCTGTAAAATCAGGGTGCTTTCATGTAGGTGCCTACCTTTAGACACCCAAGTTCAAAAACGTTAGCTCAGGTATGGCATTATAAATAATGTTGTGTTTTATATAGTTTTATCATTGCTGAAATGACATACTGAATTCTTTTTCCTAGCAACTTGTGAAGTTGACTTTCAAAGAAACAGTGTACATTCTTTATACTTCATAAATTACTTTACATGCACAAAAAACATTTATAATGAAATATCAGCAACATTAAGGCTTCATGAATGTAATCCTGAGATATGCCAATTCTATGCAATATTTAAAAAAAAAAAAGTTTAAATTCACTGAGTGTTATGTAAACTGGGATTCCTTGTATGTGTTATGTTTTTTTGCATGTTGGATTTAACTATGATTGTTTTACTTTCATTTCCCTCAAGATTAAAACAAACTGCTAAATAAATTAATGTTGTTGTTTTTTTGTTAACTTCTACCTAACCCAGTGGTAACTATTGTGGCTAATGTTGCATGATTGAAGCCAAAAACATTGCCTGTCTTTATGTGGCAGTACAAATAAACTTGCTATGAAAACTTATGCTTTAAAATAAAAATGTTCTTTTATCAGATGAATTGCAGGGTGCACAATCAGAAACAGAGACTAAACAAGAAATTCAGCATCTGCACAAGGAGCTGATTGAAGCCCAAGAGCTAGCTAGAACAAGTAAACAAAAATGCTTTGAACTTCAAGGTGAGACAGAGATAAACAAAATTTGAATGACTGTCCTGCAGAATCAAATTTAAGTGCAAATCCGAGTAATTGTCCTTAAGTAAATATATCAGTTAATCTTAAAAGGGGATGCTTAAACCAATTTTGTCTAATACAGTAAATATTTTGTTTTACTGCCCATATGTAGAAAAAGGTATCTTAAACCTGCCAGTGTCTCTAGCTTGTAAGTAATCTTTTATACAAAACCCAAATTTTGGGCCTAAATTGACATGACCGTCCCCTTTGAGCAGTACCTCACCTTTAAGTGAGTTAATGAAATGCAAAATTTATTTATCTGTGTGTATTCATTGATTCATCTATTTTAATTGGATAATAAAGGTAGTTAAATGAGTTCAGTGATAGCTAGATCATTTTTTAGACTCCCCATCCATACATCCTGTTATAATCGTTTCAGTGCAAATAACAAAAGTGTTGGTTTGCTTTTGCAGAAAACTATGTAATGTAGCTCAAACTCATTATAGTCAACATTCTTTTGGGAAATCTCTACAAATTTCTTTCTATATGCTCCCCCCGACACACAATACAGTTGCATTTCCAAGACAAAACGACTGGCAATATTAATTGTTTACAACCTAAATTAATTATACTACTACCAAAAATCATTTAAAAGTATTAACTTTTTATTAAACTACTTACAAATGTATTAGCTGTGATGATTTGTTGAAATAATCTGATTATCTTAATCTTTCAAACTCCATTTTTGGGGAAATAATTTGACTTTGAGATTAACTTCTAAATTATTAAACTATACAGCTGAAATTTTTTTTTTAATTTTTTAACTAATTACAACTTCAGGCACATTTCCACTTTCATTTATAGCACTACTGGAAGAAGAGAGAAAAGCATACCGGCTGCAGGTTGAGGAGTCCACCAAGCAAATACAGTTTCTGCAAGGTATGAAATAATTGATTTTTCTCTTCATTCTTTATACCTCAGGCATAAAAGAAAATACTTCAGTCACTTTTGGTGGCATTGGGTAACTTTTATAAAAGGAAATAATTATCTATGAATCTTAGTCTAATTTCTCTTGTTGAGAGTTGAACTGTGTCAATTTATGCTTCTCAATAATTCATACACTTCTGATTCATTGTATTTTCTAGGTTTTAGCAGGAAATAATCTCTAGTGTACATTTTTTCTCTCTCCCTTTCACCTTTAGATTTTCCAAAAAGGCCTGCTGTGCTACCTTACATTGTCTTTTGACAGGCATGCTCAATTCTTAGTGATTTAGGTTTTATGCCCTGGTCAGCTTCTTTCCTTATTGGTAAAACTTCCCTAGATAAGTTCTTCTGTCCATTCCAAAGTAACTTCCAAATTCAGAATCTGAAATAATAAAAATTTTAGTGGAACCACTACCTATACTTTTATGAAGGAATGGCATTACTAGCTGTTTCCACCTGAGGTAAATAAGCAAAGCATGAGTTTTCCAGCCCAAAACAGATAAAGCAAAATGGAATCCAATGCTTACATCACTCTTGCATTCACACTTGTGGATCTGGAAGCAACCATCACCAAACTAAGGAAGAACAACTTCTATGAGAAGAAAAATAGCTACAGCAAATGAGTTTACAGGTGATAATTTCAGTAATATACCACTCACACTGAAAAGTGTATAGAGTACTGCATATGCCTTCCAGCAAAAATATGTAGGCCTTTCCCAGGATAATGTCCTCCTGCAGAAAAATCTGAGGAATAATCTGATTTAAGCTGGCTGCTCTGTTAACAACCTAGCCGAAAACTGTCTCCAATCAAACAAAGCAGTAGCAAAAGCGGGAAATCTGATTCTGGAGGAGGAGAAATCTCAAGGATCCCTCAAGTTGTTTCTTTACTATTATTTTGTAGAGTGGGGAAGGTTTGCCACTGGCAAAAAATAAGCCACAGAGCCTGTCCACAAACCTGGCAGACCCACACTGAGGCCCTGTGTCTCTGCTCTAACTCTTTTCTTCTGCTATCTCCCTACCTCCTTGCCGGTTATGCTTTACAGTGAACTCTCTGGTTTCACTGTCCCCAAGGACTCCTGGAAGATATTCTAGTATATTTTCTAGGAGATCTGTATGGGGTTAAGAGAGTGGACAGTGGTCAGACTCATCACACCTCTGTCCTACCACTCTTCCTTGACCCGCATCTGTGATGTCCAGAGAAGAGTGGGGGACGGGAAGGGGTAGTGCCACAGAAGCAGCTGAATCCCTACCTCCACAAAAGTAGTTCTCCCTCCATCCATGGATAGGAAGAGTAGGGAGACTGTAAGGGCCCATGTAATTAGTCATTGTACAATTAAAGGATTCAGATCAGATGAGGTAATGGTTTTTGTGTGTTGCCTAAATAAGAAAAGGTGTCATGGAAACTTCGTTTGATAGCTCTCCAAATTACAGCCAATGTTTCAGAAACCTTTCTAACACTGCCTGGCAGCTATTGTTACAATGAAGATTACCCTACAACATGACCATATTTTTCAAATGCTAATAGCTTTCTGAAAAAATATTCTCTGGATATGAATCTTCCCATATTTGACCCTAGCCCAAAGGATTCTGAGACCTTTCTATTCATTAATAACTGAGACTGCACTAAAATTCAAAATTTTTCAAGAAAAAATATTCCATACTGAAGGAATATTTATTGGTCCTTTGCCAGGTTTGATGGGGGAATAAAAATTAAAAAGTTTTATGCTAAATTTATCAAAAAGGTTTTCATGGAAAACCACAGAGAGATCCCAGAATAGCCAATAGCCTGGTGGTCGGGGCATTCACTTGGGATATAGAAGACCCAGGTTTGAGTCCCTTCTTCACTGAATATTTTTACAGAGTGTAACAGCTCCAACGGGAGAGATTGGGAGAGACCAACCCTAGAATAACAAATAGCCTGATAGTTAGGGATGTAGACAATGGCAGACCAGGGACTTGAACCTGGATCTCACAGGTGAGTACCCTAGCCACTGGGATATTGGCTATTCTGGTGTTGGAGCGAGGGTATTTCTGACTCATTCTTACTTAGACCAGAAAAAACATCCTGGACCGGAGAAACCATTCCTATCCAAAGTTTAATCCCAACTATGAAGTTAAATCTGGAACTGAGGTGCTAGAGGTGTTATTATTAATCTACTTAGAATATAGTGCTAACAGAGATAAATCACCACTTGTACTTTTTTAAGAGTATAATATTTCCTATGTAACTATTTGAATCACGTTTTTGTTTTTTAATTCCATTGAGCTTCAGTTGGTTAAGGAAGGAGTTTTTTCCCTCTAGGTTTTCTTCAAATGTAATAAATATAGCTTAGAAAAATCTATACTGTACATGTATACATTCCTTTCTAGCCCAGCTGCATAGGTTGCAGGAAGATATTGAGAATCTTCGTGAGGAAAAGGAGAATGAAATTTCAAGCACTCGAGATGAATTGCTAAGTGCTCAAGATGAGATTCTGCTACTTCAACAAGGGGCAGAAAAAGCTGCATCAGAACGAGACACTGATATTGCTGCTTTGCAAGAAGAGCTGCAGGAGGTGCGGGCTGAACTTGAACGCTGGCGAAAAGAAGCCTCAGAATACGAAAAAGAAATTGTCAATCTTCAAGCCAGTTTCCAGCTGCGATGTCAGCAGTGTGAGGATCAGCAGAGAGAGGAAGCTACTCGTTTACAAGGTAAGAAAGTCATGGCTCATCCTGATGGGAACTGTCACAATCATTTTGAGATGTCTGAATGGCAGATATTTAGAATTAAATTACTCAGGCCATTATTATTCTGTATTTTCTTTACTATCAAAATCCATAGTGTAAACAAACAAATCTGAAATTTAACTAGAAACTTTGCATGAATACACTACAGAATAATTCTACACTGCTTTCTGTCACTTAAATAGCAGTTTAAATTTTGTCTAATTATTCCTATAAGATATTAGTTATAAACTTAGCTATGCTTTTCATTGAAATAAGAGTATAGTGGCACTAGCTGAAAAGCATGGCAAACTCCACATATTATAGGAATATACATTACCACAGGAGTTGCAAAGTACTCAGCAAACCTCTGTAGCTGTAATCTTCTAGACATTTGGCTAAGAGGCCTGGAGGATCCACTGGCTTCCAGTTCACTTCTGCTGCCAGTTCAAGGAATCGATCCTTTCAGTGCAGTCTATCAAGACTATTGCATTCATATTCGGCAATACAGGTTGCAAACCATGATCATGTGAGAGCAGGCAACAAGGCATTTCTCAGAGGAGGGAATCCAGCTAGGGAACAAATTCCCAGGAGAGAGAAAACTAATGTGGAGTCTGGCACCTTTAGGGCATACTTCAAGATCTACCTCTTTCACAAAAGCTTTTCCAAGTAACCAGAGTGACACAACTACTTCTCCCAACCAATCTCTCTCACTACAAGACGATCTTCCTTTGATCAAAGAAAAAGTAAGAGAGCCAGAGACACCAGAAGTTCACTAGGGATCTTGTTGTGCCAATCTGCTAACCTGCGAGGTGCTCAGATACTACAATGATGGGCATCAATACAAAAACAATATAGATGATGAATGGAACTGCACCTTACAGAACTGCACTCCAATAGCATCTTCCAGTGTCAACCCCAATTCTGGTGTTTATCTTGAACCTATGTTAGAGGAAAGAGTGATACAAACTTCCCATACTGACATCTACATTAAGAATTTCAAGGAGCTCAGGATACAGATTACAATATACAATAAGAGCAATATAAATTATACTTGTACTGAAATTTCTTCAGTGGTGTGTAGATGGAAGTTGGTACCTACACAAGATTTAGAACTCTGCATTAATTACTCTTTGTGAAGGCCTCTGAGGTATGTCTACACTGCAATGAAAAACCTATGACTGGCCCATGCCAGCTGACTCAGGCTCGAGCTGCGAGGTTGTTTATTTGCAGTGTAGATGTCCAGGCCTGGGATGCAATTCAACAGCTCCGCAGCCCAAGTCAGCTGGCATGGGCCAGCCATGGGTGTCTAATTGCAGTGTAGACTTACCCTGAGAGAGCTTTGCCTAATCCAGTCTCTTGTCACTGCATCCCCAAGACTTTCTCTACTAGTTGCACTGGTTGCTGATTTTCACAGATTTGATTTCAAGTTTCCAGTGTTTGCTTTGTTTGCTTTGAATGCTGTGTTACGTGGCTCAAGGACATGTATGGCATCTAGTAACTTCTGATTCTCCTGAACTCTACTAGTGCTAATAATTTTGTAGTTAGATGTCAGTGGCTGGAAAAGCAGATGTTTCAAATGAACTTTTCCATAACTTTTTCAGTTTTCAAATTCTAGTAATAGACCTCTAAAGACTTTTTTTTTTTTACAAGAAATAGCCACTATTTCTTAGTGCTGCTAAATGGCAGTTCTGCAGAAAAGGACCTGGGGATTACAATGGACAAGAAGCTGGATATGAGTCAACAGTGTGCCCTTGTTACCAAGAAGACTAACGGCCTATTGGGCTGCATTAGTAGGAGCCTTGCCAGCAGATCGAGGGAAGTGACTATTCCCCTCTATTCGGCACTGGTCAGGTCACATCTGGAGTATTGCATCCAGTTTTGGGCCCCCCACTACAGAAAGGATGTGAACAAATTGAAGAGAGTCCAGTGGAGAGCAACAAAAATTATTAGGGGGCTGGGGCACATGATTTATGAGGAGAGGCTGAGGGAACTGGGCTTATTTAGTCTGCAGAAGAGAAGAGAGAAGGAGGATTTGATAGCAGCCTTCAACTAGCTGAAGGGGGGTTCCAGAGAGGATGGAGCTAGGCTGTTCTCAGTAGTGGCAGATGACAGAACAAGGAGCAATGGTCTCAAGTTGCAGTGGGGGAGGTCTAGGTTGGATATTAGGAAAAAGTATTTCACTAGGAGGGTGGTGAAGCACTGGAATGGGTAACCTAGGGAGGTGATGGAATCTCCATCCTTGAAGGTTTTAAGGCCCGGCTTGACAAAGCCCTGGCTGGGATGATTTAGTTGGGGTTGGTCCTGCTTTGAGCAGGGGATTGGACTAGATGATCTCCTGAGGTCTCTTCCAACCCTAATCTTCTGTGATTCTAATCTAAGTGTTTAAGTGTCTTAAACTATTAATATTGGCTTATAATTTGATATATACTAGTTCTGTGCTACAAAATTTATATAACATAATAATCAACTTGACAAGTTACAGTTTTTACAAATCCTCTCAGATTTTTCCTTGTTACTTTTTGAGGGCACATGAAACATTATTGCTTTGACTGTTTTACTCAGAGTAACTTTACATTGTTTACAGGTGAACTTGAAAAGTTGAGAAAGGAGTGGAGTGATCTAGAAGCTGAATGCCTCTCCTTAAAGAATGAGAATACTTTGCTTGCATCTGAACTTCAGCGACAAGAGAAGGAGCTTCATAGGTAAGAGCTACTGACTCTAAAGGTTACAAATGGCCTTAGGTTTCTATAACAGCTAAAAAGGACTTTAAAAATTAGGGGCCAATTATGTTTTTTGTTTTGTTTTTTAAATAGCTTGTACATTCCAGTTCTCTTGTGTATCTTATGCATTTTATTAACTTTTGATTTACAGTTAGTTTTGATCAAAGAACAATTCACATTTACAATTAGTTACATTTAGTGCTCTATTTTTTTAAATATTTGTATATTACTAATGAACATAAAATATGCTTCAGATGACCCATCTTATTTTAAATTAAATTTTGCCTCTTTAATAGGGACTTGGGAATATGCATTCTAACATTGGTTAAACTTAGTAAAAGTTGTCTTCCTTTACTGCCCAAAAGAAAAAAATATGTATAAAAACTTGGATTAGAAAATGCTTAACATTTGGAGCTTGCAAATAACATTGAAATAGGATTGCAGGATCCTCTATTCTGTCACATCACTAATGTTCATGGTTAAGGCTACGATTTTGTCACAGAGGTCGCGAAAGTCACGGAATCCATGATTTTCAAAGACCTCCATGATTTCAGCCCCATCAGCTGGGAGCTGCAAGGTCCCGCCGCCTCCCACAGTGGCAGAGAGTTGCGAAGTACCCCCACCACCTGAGGCAGCAGGCCCCAAAGCTCCCAGCCACAGCAGACGGGGGGGGGGGTACCCGGCAGCTCCTGGCTGCTGTGGGGGACGGGGACTCCCCCAGCCGCCATGGGGGGGACAGGCAGGCCCCCACAGCTCCCCACTCCGGTGGTGACAGGGGGATTCCTGCAGCTCCTGCCACTGGGGAGAGGGCAGGGGGACCCCGGAGCTCTGAGCCCCCATGGGTGGTGAGGGCCCCAGGACTCCCAGCCACCCCACTGTCCCTTCCCATTTTATCATGGATATTTTTAGTAAAAGTCAGGGACAGGTCACGGGCTTCTGTGAATTTTTCTTTATTGCCTGTGACCTGTCTGCGACTTTTACTAAGAATATCCATGACAAAATCTTAGCCTTAGTCACGGTAGACTTCACTGAAGTGATACTGTGTTGTAAGATGTATTTCATTTACAGTGTTATGGCAATTAATAAAGATAAATCTCCCATTCTTACAACAAGTACATACTTCACAGGTATCTTTTTTTTTTTTTGTGTGTGTGTGTGTGTGTGACAGGATTATTCAGAATGTTTTGATCTTGTAGTTCCTTCATTCTTGAGTTATTTTACCTTACTGCTAAAGAATGCCTAAAACATCCAGCTTACACAGTAGTAGTTTGTCCATTTTATCCCCTCTTCCTCCATTATCCCTTTTGTCTTCACTTTTGGAATCTTGTGTCTTGATAATTCATCTAGAATACAGTACTGGGACAATAACCTGTTTTTCTTCAAGTAGTATCCACATCGGTGCTCCGCTTCAGGTGCCCATGCACCTCTTGAGTCCTTGATCGGAGATGGTCAATTAGCAGTGTCCGTTTGACCAGCCTATGAGCATTATGCTTCCTCGTGCTGGACACCAAGGCTATCTAGGGGTGTGTGGGAGAACTATCTTCAGTTCCTTCTCAACCACCTTGGCCTGAGACAGAGCCTTAGCATGTCCACTTTGAGCATGTCTCAGCTGTTCTATTTTTCTAGAGTTGTTTAAGATTAGTTAGTTGTTAGTAATAGTTATAGTTAAAGAAAAGCAGTAAGAGGATTGTTTTACTTCTCTCTCTCTCTCTCTCCTCTGAGAGACTTAAGAGGGAGATTAAACTCAGATTGCTGATGATAGAGTGCTCCCTTTGACCAGCTTTTGAGTCGGGTCAGGAGACTCCTCCCCCACCCATAAATCTGCTCTGAACAGATCCAGTGTCCCTTAAACCTCGGCACAGGCTTCCCCTAAGAAGTGGAATACTTTGGAGGCTTGAGGGAAGCCTTCCAAAAAAGAGAAATGTGGACTCTCATCTTAAGGAACCAGCTCCAAAAACCCCCCATGTCCCTTGTGACATCTACAGCCTTCAAATCTTAGACCTCTCGACTCTATACCATTCAGTCGAAGGACTCCTCCCTCAAAACCGGTGGGGTTGGAAAGTCCTGGAGCTCAAAGGAGAGGCACATCCTTGGTACCCTCTTCTAGGGATGAGGAGGACAAGCATGAGCACTCTGGACTGGCACCATCAAGCACAGCCCTGCCGTTGGCACCAATGCTCTTGGTACCAAGCAAGCAGCAGCGCCAAGGCATCATTGGCATCTACATTGGTACGCCCACCATCAAGTGTGATGTGATATTGTCCTCGGCTACTGCATTACTACTGAACCCCTACTCAATACCACAAAAGTTCAGATACACAAAGGACCTGTCTGTAACGAAGGAACCAGAGTCCCTGTTTCTCATGGGTATTGAGCACCTCTCGGTACCAAGACCCTGATCTCTGGACCACCATCCTCCAGTAACGCATAACTTTCCACCATTTTCTGCCGGTGCCCCTCCATTGGATAATAGTGAGGAGGATGAAGGAGACTTCCAGGAGGTCTCTTCTGTTTCTCTTCAGGGTTCTTCAACATATTCCTTCAGGAATCCATTCTTTGACAGTCACAGGGAAGATTGCACTCATCATTAAGGGTGGTGGAACCAACCCTGAATGCCACCCCACACCTGTGTGGGACGCCCCAAGTGACCGGACTGGGACCCCTGAGCTGCTTATCAGCAGCAATTCACCAGACTACTGGTACCATCTCATAGGGTACTAGAGCTGTACAGCCCACTCCTCCCCAAACAGCGCTCCCCACGCCCCGCCACACACAGGAGGAGACATTTGAGGAGCAGAAGGCTAGGGCAGATAGAGGCCACCCCTCAAATACCTATTTTATCCTTGTTATGCCTCTACCACCATCCCTGGCCGACCATTTTCGGCAATTTCAAGATCTCGTAAAGGGGTTTGTGGATGCTCTTCAAATGGAATTTGAAGAAGTCAAGGACTCACAGCAGAAACTGTTGGATATCCTGCAGTCAGCAACATCCTCCAGGGTGATAGTACCCATTAACGAGGTGCTGTGAGATCCAGCCAACACTGTGCGATGGACACCTGCCACTGTTCACAATTGGGACAAAGAGCCCACTTCAATGCCCTCATGACTCAGGGCAGTGGACAATTCAGAAAACCAGTCTCCAGATCAGTCTTGGCTCTGAGGAACACTGCTTTCATTTCATACTCCTCATTAGGGACATATCAATCAGGTGTGACAGACCCAGACCAGTGGGGTACAGGAGTCTGGTAGAGGGCAAATATACTGGTCACTGGGTGAGTAGTTTTCTGTTCCCTGAGTGACCAGAGAAGGGGCTGCACTAGAGTAATCAGGAACCTGCTAGAACCAGTTAAGGCAGGCAGGCTAATTAGGACACCTGGAGCCAGTTAAGAAGAAGCTGCTAGAATCAATTAAGGGGAGGCTAATCAAGGCACCTGGGTTTTAAAAGGAGCTCACTTCAGTTTGTGGTGCGAGTGTGAGGAGCTGAGAGTGAGAGGGTGTGCTGCTGGAGAACTGAGGAGCACAAGCGTTATCAGACACCAGGAGGAAGGTCCTGTGGTGAGAATAAGGAAGGTGTTTGGAGGAGACCATGGGGAAGTAGCCCAGGGAGTTGTAGCTGTCATGCAGCTGTTACAGGAGGCACTATAGACAGCTGCACTCCACAGGGCCCTGGGCTGGAACCCGGAGTAGAGGGCGGGCCTGGGTTCCCCCCAAACCTCCCAATTGACCTGGACTGTGGGTTCTTCCAGAGGGGAAGGTCTCTGGGCTGTTCCCCAACCCACATGGTGAATCTCTGCGGCAAGAAAATCCACCAATAAGCGCAGGACCCACCAAGATAGAGGAGGAACTTTGTCACACAGGGTCATGACTGACAACTTATCCTGCATGTTTTATGTCAACAAGCAGTGAGGAGAAAGATCCGTCTCCTTGTTCATTAAAGCCATGAAATTACGGAACTGGTGTATAGCTCATCAAATCCAAATTTCAGCAGTCCACCCTCCCAGGTATCCAGAACACCACAGCCATGTCCTCAGCAGATTCTTCTCACAGGACTATGAATGGCAGTTAGACTCTCAAGAGTTCTCCACAGCATATTGAAAAGATGGAGACCTGCCAAAGGTGGATCTCTTCACCATCTGCAGGAACAAGAGATGCCCTTTTTTTCTACTTGAGAGGGGAGAAGCCTTTCTTCTGTCTTGGAAGAAAGGTCTGTTCTCTGCATTTTCCCCAACATTGCTGCTACTAAGGGTGATGAACAAAATCAGACAGGACCAGAGTTACCCTTATAGTGCCAGTCAGGTCGAGACAAGTTTGTTACCCTTACCAGCTCCACCTTTGTGTCTAACCATCTAATTCAAGCTCAACCACTTCTCATGTCCTCTTGTAGGATGTGGGTCATGTGCTTCACACCATTGTAGGAGTTCTGCACCTCAGAGCATGATTCCTTGATGGTTCCTGGAGTTAGAATCCTCTTGCTTTACGGAAGTACAACAGGTGTTACTGACTAGTAGAAAGAGGTCAACCCAAACTACTTACCTGCAGAAATAGAAGAGATTTTTCCATTGGTGGTGGTGGTGGTGCTGCCTCCTGCCTGAATTTGTGCCACTTTGTCATTCTGTATTACCTGTTGAATCTGAAGAAAGTTAGTCTGATTAAGGCCCATTTGGCTGCAATATCAGCCTTTCATCATCCGGTAGAAGAATTCTCCATTTTTTGCTCACCGGGCATCATCTAGGTTTATTGAGAGTTTGGGGAATCTCTACCCCAGATTAAAGTCCCCACCAAACCTAGAACCTAAACTTGGTCCTTAGTTACCTTGAGACCTCCATTTGAATCTATGGGAACCTGTTCTATGCTCCATTTAACTATGAAGATGGCCTTTTTAGTAGCCATCATGTTGACCTGCAGGATTGGGGAGATGGGAGCTGTTATTGCACAAAGTGAGTAACCTCTTCTTCTTTTAGACTTGAATTTTTACCATGTACCTACCCTTTTATATTTATGTTCTCAGTGCCATAAGTTCTAGTTGTAGTTACCAATGGAAGTTCCCTGCAGTGGAGCATTCCAAAAAAGGATGAGTCATTGTATTAGGCAAACTGAAGCCAAATCTTATACATGAATCTCCCTTCATTCTACTTCTGCTCCCATTTTCTCTAACTCCTGACATTTTCCTTCTTCTCTCCTACCCCACGTTTCTACTGTATCCAGTCTGACACCACCACACCTCCCCATTACAGTTTCCCATATAACAATATCTAGTCCTGTGATATATTCCCAGCAACCCTCTGCTGCCAGTCCAGGCCACTAGTGGTATATTCTCACTGAGGATGTGCACCAGTCTTTTTCCCCACAGTATCTTACTTCATCCTGACTAGGTAAAAATATAGCACAGTCCAATTTTCTAAAAGTAGTTGCAGTGGTCTGTGCACATAAATATGTGATCACTTTTGCACTTGTATTTCTTCACATAAAATGTTCATGCTCAAATGTGGGGACGCAGATGATCTGTTTCTATTTAAAAAAAAAAAAAAAGCCGATGGTTTCTAAAAGAGTGGTTCATATTTCTATTGCTTATATTTTATAGGCACAAATTACAATTGCTTAGCTTAAATACTTAGTATTTAATTATTAATTTACAGATTTTTACATTAATAAAGTACAAAACTTTATGAAATAACTAGATTTTCATGAAGACCATTATATTTTCTATTTTAGAATATTCAAAATATTTAATTGTTACTCATAAGCTAGAATGAACTAAATTGAAGTAGATATATGTACATTATGCATACTGTAACTATCTCATTGAGATGCAATGTTCTTGTGAGTTAGTTTCTACTCAAAGTATTTGTAATTATTTTCTGTGTATAAATAGATATTCCAAAAAATATTAATCCTTGGCCAAAATTTCTTTGTAAAAGTTTGTAAAGTTCTTAGGGATAAAAAGTTCTTTATAAATCATGTAAATGTTTTATTTTAAAATGTGAAGTATGAATTGAATATTGTTTTGCAGTTCTCAGAAACAGAGTTTAGCGCTAACCAGTGATCTAAGTGTTCTTGAAATGACCCGAAAGCAACTTGAAAATCAAATGGGATCTTTGAAGGAACAACATCAACGCGATGCAGCTAGTCTAAAAACTCTACTCAGTGAAGCTGAGAATCAAGCAAAGGATGTTCAGAAAGAGGTAAAAGGAAATACATTAATTCCTGTTATGATTTGATCCTATGACCAGCAACTGATATTTATGCTAGCTAGATGGAAATGCAGTGAAAATAGCTATGACCTCAAAACTTCTGAAAATTGTTATTAATATAAGTGGTTCTCTGTGAGTGGGACTTGATGCACAAATGAGGAAATTTGTAAACCTAAAAGGGAAGCTCAAGTAAGGTGTGTGTGTGTGTTTGGAAACTTTCTAAATATTTGCTTTTGCAGGCAAAGTGCACTGGTTTTTATGCTGTTCATGGGCAGCTTTCACTTATGACTACCATTGAGATGGCAGATAGGCAGTCATATTCTTGACCACAGCATTAAATTCTCAGTAACCTGTATAAATAGGTATTAACTGTTCTGAGACAATGCGTGTACTATATTAGAGACACCCATTTTTCCTAAGCATTAGGAATTCACATCCTCTGCAAAGATGAGTGTCCTTCCTATTTAATAGAGCCTCGCTTGGATCCTCAGGACTTTTGAAGGTGATTAAGAAGTGCATATGATAAAGTTAGAATCCTTCAAATGAGGCTGCTGAAGCACATACTCTATGGGGAAAAAAGCTGCAATAGTTAGTTCCTTTCCTCATGAACACAATTAGAGAAGCTTTATCCAGCCACTGGTGGATTTTTCATTATCCTTTTTGTAATCCTTTTCCTTGCTTTGTCATAAATTAATCACTATGATGTTATATACCATTTTCATATTTCAGAAAAAATGTAAATTAATGTTGTTAACATATAACTTTATAACTATAGAAGTTCTATATCCATAAAGGAGCAGCTACTTTTAGCTCAAATGGTAGAGACCTCTGCTTTAATGCTTAAAGCAATGCTTTCTAGCCCCCCTAATGATCTGTTGTGAGGGTTGCCTTGTAGCCTGTAAAATAATTTGAATACCTATAGACCTTGAATGATAGGGACAAGCTTCCCTTGACAGAGGAATGTTTGACACATTGTCTAAGCACTTTTAATCACACTGTTAAACAACAGAATACCAATTGAAATGTTTTCAATATTTTTGGATGTTTTTCTACATTTTCAAATACATTGATTTCAATTACAACACAGAATATAAAGTGTACAGTGCTCACTTTATATTATTTTTTATTACAAATATTTGCACTGTAAAAATAATAAACAAAAAATAGTATTTTTCAGTTCACCTTATACAAGTATTGTAGTGTTGTCTCTTTATCGTGAAAGTGAAACTTACAAATATAGATTTTTGTTGTTGTTACATAACTGCACTCAAAAACAAAAGAGCCTACAAGTCCACTTAGTCCTACTTCTTGTGCAGCCAATTGCTCAGACAAACAAATTTGTTTACATTTGTGGGAGATAATGCTGCCCGCTTATTATTTACAGTGTCACCAGAAAGGGAGAACAGGCGTTCGCATGGCACTTTTGTAGCCGGCATTGCAAGTTATTTACATGCCAGATATGCTAAACATTCGTATGCCCCTTCATGCTTTGGCCACCATTCCAGAGGACATGCTTCCATACTGATGATGCTCATTTAAAAAAAATGCATTAATTAAATTTGTGACTGAACTCCTTGGGGGGAGAATTACATGTCGCCTGCTCTGTTTTGCCCACATTCTGCCATATATTTCATGTTATTAGCAGTCTTGGATGATGACCCAGCACATGTTGTTCATTTTAAGAACACTTTCACTGCAGATTTGACAAAACACAAAGATGGTACAAATGTGAGATTTCTAAAGATAGCTACAGCACTCGACCCAAGGTTTAAGAATCTGAAGTGTCTTCCAAAATCTGAGAGGGATGAGGTGTGGAACATGCTTTCAGAAGGGTTAAAAGAGCAACACTCAGATGCAGAAACTATAGAAGCCGAACCACCAAAAAAGAATATCAACCTTCTGCTGGTGGCATCTGACTCATGATGATGAAAATGAACATGCATAAGTTCGCACTGCTTTGGATCTTTATCAAGCAGAACCAGTTATTGGAATGAACACATGTCCTCTGGAATGATGGTTGAAGCATGAAGGGACATACGAATCTTTAGTAAATCTAGCACGTAAATATCTTGCAACGCTGGCTACAACAGTGCCATGCGAACACCTGTTCTTACTTTCAGGTGACATTGTAAACAAGAAGCGGGCAGCATAATCACGCAATTAATCGTGATTAATTTTTTTAATTGCTTGACAGCCCTAATTATTGTCCCTCTTGATTAAGGAGGGATACTGTAAGCACATTGTGTTTGGTGTGGCACATAAGTTGAATATGTTCAGGCGCTGCTGTCAATGTAGTTGGCCACCAGCACACTGTAGTTTCACATGACACACCATAGTGAATTCACCCCACTTTAGAAGTGCATAATTCCCCCCCTCCCCATCCCCCACTTATGAAAATATTTTTGTTTGTCTGTGTTAATAAATGATAAACTCCAGAATTAGTGGACTATCTCAGAATATCCTAGGCAACTAAAATCATTCTAATGAAGAATCACTGCTGATTATATCACAAAGCAGTGTCTGATCTGGTTAGCAAATAGTTTTCCTTTGTAGGTTTCACCATCTGAGTGTTCTAGGAAGTAGATTGAGTTATTTAGTAGGAGAAATACTTCTTTGAGTCTGTTCTGAACTAATGCCCTGGTATGTCCATAGGGAGCATACTGTGGTTGGATGTGCTCTTTTGAATGAAATGTAAAAGAGTTACTGAAGTTGTCATTAAAGTTTGCATATCATTTTATATTAATGTTAGGGGAGTGTAGCTTCAATTTCTAGGCTAAATTTAGATTTGTGGTGTTATATTCTGCCTTCTTAAATTCCCCAAGCAGTTTCATTTGGATAATGGTGGTCCTTACTTACTTTTTTTTAAAATGTAGTGCAGTGGTGTACACTGGTAGTTGCTGCCTTCTATCCAAGAAGAAGGCTGCATTCCTAGTGGTAGGTGAAGTAATTTATGAATATAGCATATGTCATTAGTAAAGATGTTGGTATCATGCAAGATAAGGCACTATATAAATAAGACTTTGTTCTCCTTTAGTTATACCTGCAGTAGGATGTTATGAGTCTCTTTGCTATCAAAAAGCAAAGGCATACATGCAACTAGTTCTAAGCCTTCAACACAAGGGGGAGAAATTGTAGTAAAAAGAAAACTTAGAAGACTGTTTCAGTAAGAATGAAAAAAGGTTCTTTGTTGTAGTTTTTCTTTGGGATATAAGATGGTTTTAATTATCATCCAAACAGATCTCTCATCTGCTGTTTTTATATGGAACTGCTAGTTCTGACCAAATTATCTTGAAACGTGATTGATAAGGAAGGTTTTGTTTCTGAAGCTTCACTGACTTACCTTAACAGAACTTAACATCTAATGTCCAATTTAAGATGAGTCTGTAGATGGTTTTTTCTTTGCCTTTAGTATGAAAAGACACAAACTGTACTCTCAGAGCTGAAGTTGAAGTTTGAGATGACTGAGCAGGAAAAGCAATCAATCACAGATGAGCTCAAACAATGTAAAGACAACCTGAAGCTGCTACAAGAAAAAGGAAACAATGTAAGTCTGTACAAATTATGTTGGGCCTCTGTGATGGCAAGTCTGTTGATTGTGACAACATCTGAGTGTTACATGGTAAAGACCAGATTTTCAAAAGGGAAGTGTACAAAAATCCACCTGCAATTGCATACCTAATGTGTGCTGCATTACTGTCTTTGTACATGCAAGTAACCATTTAGATTCCTGTGTATTTGCATGCACAAATATGCAGATTGAATACACAATTGCAGTAATTGTGCACATAAATTAGGTGCATAACTGCATATACTGTTTTACACATGTCCCTGTGCTTCTGCTCTCTTTAAAAATCTGGACTAATGACTAGCAAACAGAGCCAGGTAAAACGTTTTCACTTCACACAAAAATGCAAAAAATCCTCTCTGAAAATCTTCTGTACAGAAGTCAAAAGACCTGGACACACACAATTTTATTAAAAATAACAGGAAAAACAGATCTTTCCCAGGATATTTTCCTTCTGTGTGGTGGTCTGTTCAGTAAATGTTATCCTCTGACTGTCTCCTGGTCTTGCCTCTTAAGGACAAAGGGCCCTGATGGGCTACTGCTACACACATTGAGAACAGTGTTCCCTCTAATTTTTCCCACCCATGTGCAGAATGAATTTTGTTATGTGCACCAATATGGAGGTGGTGTGTGACACATCACCTTCATATTGGTGCACATAATAAAATTCATGTGGTGGGGGGTGGGGCTGAGGGGTTTGGAGTGTGGGAGGGGACTCAGGGCTGGGGTAGAGAGTTGGGGTGCAGGAGTGTGAGGGCTCCGGCTAGGGGTGTGGGCTCTGGGGTGGGGCCAGGGATGAGGGGCAGAGGATTGGGGTGCAGGGGGTGAGGGCTCCGGCTGCGGGTGTCAGATCTGGGGTGGGGCCAGGGATGAGGGGCTCAGGGCTGGGGCAGAGGGTTGGGGTGCAGGGGGTGAGGGCTCCAGGTGGGGGTACGGGCTCAGGGGTGGAGCCGGGGATGAGGGGCTCAGGGCTGGGGCAGAGGTTTGGGGTGCAGGGGGTGAGAGCTCCGGCTGGGGGTGCAGGCTCAGGGATGTGGCCAGGGATGAGGGGCTCAGGGCTGGGGCAGAAAGTTGGGGTGCAGGGGTGTGAGGTCTCCAGCTGGGGGTGTGGGCTCTGGGGTGAGGCCGGGGATGAGGGGTTTGGGGTGCAGGAGGGTGCTCAGGGCCTATGGCAGGGAGAGAGGACTCCCCCCAGCTCTTTCCCCACAGCAACACCTGGGCTCCAGGGGAGGGGCACCTCTCCCCGCTGCAGCAGCTCTGGGACTGCGGCTGCAGGATAGGCGCAGGTCTGGGCTGGGGGAGAGCTGCCGCGGCTGGGTCCGGGCAGGGGGAGGGCTGGCCACAGCCAGCCCCATGCCGCTCCAGCCATGCGCCACTCCAGCCACGCTGCCACAATGGGTCTGGGCTGCTCCAGCTGTGCCTGGCGCGGGCCCTGGCCACCCTGCCCCGCCCCAACCACGGCTGGGCCCAATTCGGCCATGCCACCCCAGCAGGTCCTGGCGCGGCAGGTTGGGCTCCGGGCTATGTGGCGGGGGAGGGGCATCCCTCCTCCGGCTGCGGCAGGTCCCCAGGTGGGTTCCTTGAGTGCCTGCGCGGCACTAAATAGGCCGCTGCTGAGCCGCGCAGCTTACTGGGAACTTAGGTTGGGAAGTATAGCTCAAATGCACTACGCTTTCCAGCCTGAGTAACTGGAATGATCTTTTCTGTAGTAATTAATTTTAAATATATCACAGGATTGAGTGTACTGCCAGAGACAGCTTTTGGTGCCTACAAAGCACAGCGTCCTTGAATGCCACCCACGCTGTTAGAGCCAGTATAACTACCCCACTACCCTGTAGACCTCTTAACATGCAGCAGAATTGGGAGAGGAGGAAAGAAAAGGGGAGGCCACATTCACCGTCTTCTTGTTGCTTTATGTGCCGTTCGTGGTAATCTCACACCAGTTTCTTTCCTGCTTGGAATCCTTCTCCAAATTTTTAATGACAGACCACACTCTAGTGGTCCCTTTTGGCCTTAAGCACTATGAGTGAGAGGGAACAGGAAAAAGGGCCTGATTCAGCAGGGAATACATTAGGTATGTCTGCACTGCATTGTAAACCCAGGTCTGTGGCACCCACATTTGTGGACTAGGTGTTTCCAAGCCCATGCTTGAGCGACCACACTGCATTCAAAACTTTGGTTTACAATTGCTTGACCCAGGTCTCACAACTGTGCTAACACACCCATGTTGCACTATGCAGACCTTCTGACTTGGATCTATAGCTTGATCTGCGTCCAGACTGCAAACTGACAGAGCTAGGACCGAAGTCTCAACAGGTCCCACCCCCCCTGATTGGGTCCTAGAATTTGGGTCCTGAGTGCTTGCTGACCTGAGTCAGATAGATTTATGTGTGGATGGTAGGGGGGTTGGGCTCAAACCTGAGTCCGAGCCTGAGTTTATAATGCAATGTAGACATCCCCTGAGTGGCTGGTGGTAAGTGGTAGACTCCTTATACTTAACCTTTTAAGAACCTAGACCTCAGGAAGCAAACTAAGTATGTCAATGAGAAACTAGGAGGAAGGACTGAGGGGAAACAGAGAATGGGGAGGCTGGAGGAGGTCAGGATAAGATGAGCAACAGCAAAGAGTGTATGGAGGGAGGGACTCCTAAGAGGAGCCTCAATTCAGCACTCATGGGGTGACATTTTTAAAACTTTGCAAATTTAGTTAATCTTGCTAGGTGACTCAAAAAATCCTGGAGCTTCCAAGGGGCTGGAAGTTTTTTCCAAGTACCACTAACCTCTTCTTGTGGCTGAAGCCATCATCTTTCACCTCACTCTTGGCTAAGGTTTTTTGGAAGAAAGGATGCCAACTGTGGAACTTCCTCCCTTTTGTGGCCTGCCAAAACCTGAGTTTACAGATCTTCCATCATAATATATGGGGCGCATGTTTTTAATCAGGCGTTGGTTTGACAGGAGGACAGCAATGAGGAAACTCATTACATTTCAGGGTGGTGTGGGGAGAGAATAAAAAGGTTGTCTTGTCTTTTTGTGGGCAAGTACATTTAATGTGGTGGTTGCTTTTAATGTATGTCATGCATGTTGTATGGGTGCATGTAATGATCGCTAAAATAAAATGCAGTAGACCATTCTATGTACTATAAATGCTAGAGGAGAGAAAATTCCTTTACTCCATTTGCAAACTCATATTGGAAATCCACAGGATTTTTGTGTTCCTCTTTCTTTTGAAGGGGTGAAGAATTAATTTTAAAATCCAATGTTATGTTCTAAATGCATAGACCTATGGAGCTACCTGTATTTTGCATGTTTGTAGTTTATTGATGATTTCCTGAGACTTTAAGTGATGGACTTATCCATGTGAATGGTTCTGAGCATGTAAAGTGCTTTGATGAATTTGAAATCTTTTGGCACTGCATTGATTATTTCTACCACCATGCTTCTTGTGGGAAGATGGCACTCGGATTTACAGCACAAATGAAAATGCCTTGATTATAATTACACATAACTTGTCTATTGGATATTGCTTTGATTAAAACAAATTTAAATTAGCATAAATTCAAGGCATGTATTGCACAGTGTAGAACATCTTCTAAATTTCATATATACTGACCTTTATTTGAAGTTATGCTTGAAATGCCTGTATTACTTTTTTTTTAAAATCTGTTAGTAACTTATTCTATGAAGTCTATAAACATGAGTTTAACTCATTTAGCTGACTATATGAAATCAACATGGCTTCAGCACAAAAAAGCACTAAAAAGACATCTAGCATGATCTGAACTTACTCCTGAGTATGTGTGTGTACACACATATATAGCTAGAGAAACAGAAAAAGCAGGAGTCTTCTAAGGATAGTTTAAAAAATAAACTTAGTTACCAATTCTCATCACCTATGTCAGTCACTCCTTTGAAATTGAATTAACCAATTCATGACACAGGACAGAGGTTATCCAGCCAAAGCTCAAAATAAAGAGGTGTATTAGTGTCTATTAAAACTAATTGAACAAGTTTGTGTGCAATTAAAACAAGGTATGTGTTATGTTGATGGCCTGAAATTTGTCTAGAAATACAACATTGTCACAACGTGAGATCAAGACGTAAGTCCAACTTTCAGATTTTAGCAATTTGAGCTATCAGAAGCTGATGCCCTGGTGGAGATTTTCATCTCCCAGAGTCCCCTGATGGATATGTACTCCATCATTGTGGTACACTTCATTGCTAATGTTGAATAATGTTGCAGTCTCATAGAAGTGTCCTGACCACAGGATTTGCATTGTGATATAATTGTAGGTTATTCATAGGAAGAGAATTTTTTCTTGTGGGCAGGAGGTTGAAAATTGCTGAGTGTGAAGAAATGGATGAAGAATCTGTAGTGCTTCTTGGACCTTCTGAATATGCAGAGTCCACTGCCTAGGGATGCCTGGATGAGGTTTCATTGTGTAAAGGAAAAGCCATGCTCAGTCTCCCATCTTTTTTTTTTTTTTTTTCCTTTAAAAAGGAAGACAGTAATGTGATTGACATGTCAGTCTAAGCCTCATTTTGACTGAAATCCTAAATTCTAAGTGGTGACAAAAGGCTTCCTTAGAACATTTTTCTGCTTACTTCATCTTATTTTTAAATATCCATGTTCATTTGAGTAGAGTGGTGTACTAACTTTGTATACCGAATTAGATCATGCTGTATCGTGTTAGATGTCTTTAATACATTTCGATTAAAACAAAACTCACTCTTTGACTTATTTTCCCCCATCTAAATCATCTTTACCTTATTGATTTTATAGCAAAAAATGATTTTTAATATCCCTTCCCTTCTTTAGCCTTCCATATTACAACCCGTCCCAGCCGTATTCATCGGCCTAATCCTGGCTTTCCTGTATTGGTGTTACGGCCCATTGTGGTAGAGAAAGGTACAAGCACTACTGTTCAGTCAATGTATGTTTGTCCCTGTCGCCTGTTTGTGCCATTTTTGTAAAATAGTGCATGGTGAACTGCTCACGGATATTTATTTACCTGAAGCAACCCCTTCATTTAATATGCCGTAGTGGTGATACTGTCAAGCTGAACAATCAACTAATCATTTAACATCTGTGTGGTTTCTTTGTGATATTTCTAACTATGAATTAATTCTAACTTAACCAGTTTTGAATGTCTCTCTTCTAACTTGGTCTCAGTTTGTCTTTAGCAAAATGGGGCAAATTTTGTGAAATACTGCAGTGACAGGACCTGAAAGAAAACGTAATTACTTAATCAAATATGGAAAATGAAGTTTGTCTGTTTAAATTGAAATTTGGTCCTTTATTTCTTATTTGTGGATTTAGAATTTCCTCTCTGGCTTTGAACACTTTTTCACTTTTCTCACTACTGCTGTGAAGAAGGTGGAAAAAGGACAAGATGGGAATAACAAATAGGTGGTGGGTTTGCATTCTTAACTCTAAGCTTGCACTACATTTACAGTATCTCCCAGTATGTCCTGTGTAAAATACTTGTTACCCTTGACGTAAAATAATAATAAAAATTACCTTGATAGGATCCACTTAGAACTAATATCTCAGATCTGGCTTAAACACACAGAGCAAAGAAGTTAGATGCTGTTTATTGCATAGCATAGGTCTAGCAATACTTTTGCACGAACAATATTATAAGCATCTTAATCCCTCAAAGGTTTAATAGAAGATATAATCCTAGGTGCATATTGTAACAAAGTTGGAAATACAGTACGACTAAAGAGACTCGTGGTGACATGCCATTGTGATGACTGCGTCTCTTGGAGTTCCTTGTGGTAGGCCAAATATGGTTTAACCCCTTGGTGTCAGGATTTCCCAACAGTAAGGGTTCATGGGAAACATATTAGTGATGTTTATCAACAGGTGCTCAGGACTTATCGGAACCAAGGGGTAAACTGAGTAGTGTAAACTAGAACAAATATGATACTGATTTTTTTTTTCTCTCCACACAGAGACAATGGCCTTGGATGCCTCTGATGGCAGCTTTGGTTGCTGTAACAGCTGTGGTGCTGTACCCAGGCCTAACCAGAGCTTCTCCATGAGAACTGTTGTTGAATCCATTCACCGTCCTCCCTTTAGAAGCTGGCATCATTCACATACTGGGAAAAAACAGATTAATTCTCTTCCTTTTTACCTCTTAATACAACAAAGCTCTGCGCGAGAACAGTAGTAGGGTCATTGCTTTAAACTGTATAAAATGTATCTGTCTATAAAGAGGGAATAAAATTATGACTTCATTCTACTGTGAGCAATATTTTTGCTTACAATTTCATGTAATTTTTAAATTAGTATGTTGGGATTCTAAATACTATTATGGTGGCCTAAAGTAGGCTTCTTGGTACCAAATTATTTATAATGGGTAGGTTTGTGGATATTTTACTTTAGAATCTGATTGCCAGATTTAAAAGAAAAACACATTTCTGATTTGGATACCCATGCCAAATAACTTTACAGATACTTGGAAACAGAGGCAGTATGCTCAGTGCCTTTCAGTTTGAAATATTTGTTTACATTAATGTACCATTTTTACTTTCTGCAAGTCACTGAGCTAGTGGGAACAAGACTTAAAATAACTTCTCTTTCCAGGCCTTTTGAAGGAAACAAATATTTTGCTTCAGTAAAGATTCTGTTTTATTAATAATTTTGGGAATAAATACAATTCATTTCCAGCCTTAAAGAGAGAGAGAAGACATTGGATGGCAAACACCTGCCTAGGATATTTTGTGTGCGCGTGTGGGAATGTGTGCTTGTGTGTGTTCTTGAGTGAACTAAGGTATTTCTGGGAGCAAAATCTTGGTCATTTGATGGACATAGTGCAGTGATCCAATTTATATTACCTTTATTTCGAATGTAATTTATTAAATTTCATATATTTAAAGAGACACATTCTTTAAAATCTGAATATTTTCACACAGATCACATTTTAGCAACTTATTTTTTCAGTCATTTAATACTTTCAAAACTGAACTGGAGAAATATTTGTCTATTTAGGTAAGTTTTTAATGAAAACTTCAATATGGGAGGTGCTACAATGCATCTATGGGTAACTTGGATTTTTTCAGATAGGCAAGCTATTGCCAAGTTAGTCATCTAACTGGTCATGTATGCATCAAGTTAATAAGCTGAGAGTGTTTACTTTTGGTAATTAGAAACTTTTGCATCAACATTACATGACACAATATGCATAATATACCTTCATACATTATTGACTTTTTGATTGGGTAACCACTGTAGTTAAACAATGAATTAAGTGTTGGCTATAGTTGTCTTGTGCAACTCAACAGTTCAGTTAAAAAAGTTGTATTAAGGTCCTATATAATATACTAAAGGATTGCAAAGTAAAATGAATTAATCTAATGGAAATTTAAGAATAGGAAGATAATCTCAGCGAAGATTTAATTGGCTTTAAAATATTTAATGGCAATCAACAGCTATAGTTGAATATTTAAATAGAAGTTTAGCATATAATTTGCCTTGTGAGGTTTTGAGGGTCATTGTCCTTTAATTAAAGGTTCTATCTTAAAATACTTGGAAATTGCTAATGGGAGGATTTTAGATTTATGGAAGAATAAATCCACAAGTGACTTTTAGACTATAATATTGGGTCACCTAGTTAGCATTTCATCTTTTTCAGTTGCAGGAAGCCACCCAATCACAAAACACTCATATGCCAGTGGTACTCGGTACCTCTTGTATATAGATTATTGCAAATATTGTTCTGAAATGCTTTACTTCAGAATTACATTTTTTAAAGTAAATAATTGTTTTAAATCTATTTTGTAAAGGTATAATAAGTACAATAGAATTTCTCGAGTACAGATTAAACTATTTGCACTAACACACGTGATGTGCATGATTTAATAAAATAACTTTACGTATGCATGTTTGAGTTGAATCTCATTTGAAAACCGCACATCTGTGTTAAATTCATTGTGTGCTAGGGATTACTACAATGTTTGCAGCATGTTTGATCGAAAAGGTTTTACTTTTCATTTCACATTCACATTGGTTTAAATTTAAATTTAAATCTCTCTCCTGTCCAGGTCTAGTTTGAAGCAGAAAGGGAATGGGAGTACAAGGGGTTGGGGTTTGGTTCTGTGGAAAAATCTGGAAGAGAGATTTTTTGTGTGTTGGAGCTTGGAGGGTGCCTATAATAGGGATGGAAAGCTAGGGGAAAGGTGGGAGGGTGGTTATGGATAGTGCAGAGAGCCTGGGGCAGCTGTGAAAGGAGTTGTTGAGGGTAGTGCAGGAGCTTGAGGCAGTCTCCCTCCTTCTCCCACTAGCTTCTCTAGTTCTGCCCCGTCCCTTTTTAACCATTTTTTCTTCCCCACCGTGCTCCATTCACCTTCCTACCATGACCGCCTCCTCCCTGGCCTCCATGTAGACCTGGTGTTGTCTGAAGGAGAAGAGAGGCAGAGAGGCCACATTGAAACCTGAGGATATAGTAGCTCCTGGTGGCCAGATGGAGGAACTGCAAGCAATCCTTTCCACCTTGCAGCCCAGCTAGATTTAGCATGATGGGGCGCCAAACTTGAGTATCCTCTGAGATGCCTGATCATTGGCAGCCCTCATTATTTTCACAGCATTATTTTCTTTACACAAATACAAAAATTGTGTGAGTTTTCAGTAGTCTTCAAAACATCAAACAGCTGACCGTTAATCTAGCATGTCTATTTAAAATGAGAAAAAAGTACCTAACTTGGTGAATGTATGAGCATATATGCATATTTATATTCACTTTATATACACAGACACTCATAATGTGTATACTTTACATGGATATGTGTGCTATACAATACAGTATTTCCCATAGTACAGTGCTCTTCCTGGGAACTATCAGAGGGGTAGCCGTGTTAGTCTGAATCTGTAAAAAGCAACAGAGGGTCCTGTGGCACCTTTAAGACTAACAGAAGTATTGGGAGCATAAGCTTTCGTGGGTAAGAACCTCACTTCTTCACTTGCATCTGAAGAAGTGAGG